TCATAAACCTCACAGCCTCCGTATACTTCACCCCGGCACGATATTATACAGTCGCCATCCCGAAGTGGTTGAGGCTCAGGGGCCCGAATCCCCAAAACAAACACTTCCAAAACCCCGAAACTGGGGATGTTCCCCCTTACACTAACAGTCCTTGTTAGAGATTCTAGTAGGAGGGGTACTAGAAGCAATCTTAAGGACTGTTAGTATAAGGGGGAACATCCCAACCCGAAACCCTAACCTCGGTGCAGGTCTGGCGCGCGGCGTTGAAGTTCACCAAAGTGGTCGTTTTCGTCTTGCCCAAGGAGTGTTTACGGTTTGGGGCTGAGGGTTTAGGGCTTAGGGTTAGCGTCTAGAGCTTTGGGTTTTTTGTGGCCAGAATTGGGTGTTGGTTCTTAGTAGGGAGTCGGATCACCCTAAAGCTCTAAGCCCCCAAAACCCTAAACTCTAGACCCAAAACCCTAAACCCCTAAACCCTAAACGAACCTACCTGCAAGCCTCCCCAAACCCTAAACCCCAAACCCTAAACCCTAGGCCCTAAACGAACCTACCTGAAAGCCACCAACCTAGAACCTAAACCCCAGACCCTAAACCCCAAACCCTAAACCCTAAACTAGAAACTAACCTCCCTGAAAGCCACCAACCTAGAACCTAGCAGCCAAGAACCGGCTTGAGCGTAGGAAGGGCTGATCGATCAGCTGCCCAAGATCATGAGGCCGTACCTTGGGCGTTTAGGGTTTAGGGTTTAGGGTTTAGGGTTTAGGGTTTAGGGTTTAGGGTTTAGGGTTAGGAGACGAGGGGGCTGACGAGGAGAAGAGGGAGATGAGAGGGCAAGGGAGATCTCAGAAGCGTTTAGGGCTTCAGGTCTTCAAGGGACCACTAAGGGCTTAGGCCCAAAGAACCCCCAGAACATGCAAGGGTGGTTCCATAGGCCCTTAGTATGGTCCCTTGCCGTATGGGCCCTGAATTTGTATAGGGTATATAACGGGTATATAAGACGTCCCCTTCTAGGGGCCCATACTCAGGGACCATGTCACTACCATACCCTAAGATAACAAACGTACCACGATGGGACATTCAAGCCGAGGTGTCCCTGAGCCCGAAAACTCGCGAAGCCCAAATCAAGACCCTAGAACCTCGACAGCCTTGGGTTTTGGGTTGGGGTTTAGGGTTTAGGGTTTAGGGTTTAGGGTTTAGGGTTTAGGGTTTAGGGTTGGGGTTTAGGGTTTGGGGTTTGGGGTTTGGGGTTTGGGGTGAGGGTTTAGGGTTCAACTAAATCTTTCGGAAAACATATGTTTTGACTTTGTTGTTTCTAAGCCGAAGGGACCACGAACGGGCCATTGACAACTGTGTTTTCAAGGGCTCAATCCAGGAACGAGTTTGTGAACCGGATTTAGTGTTTCAGGGGTTTAGGGTCTATTTAGGGCAACCCATTCAGCCCTGAACCCCTAAAGCCTAGAGCCCTGAACCCAAAGGCCCGCTTACGGTAGTACACAAAACCTGAAGCCCCTAACCAATCCTAGAACCCTTAATCCTGACCCCGAAATCCTTAAACCCTTACTTCCTAAACCCTAAGTCCTAAACCCTAACCTAAGCCCTCAACCTTTCCCGTAAACCCTAAACACCCTTTAGCCCTATACCCTGAATATCCCTGAATCCTAAAGCCCTAAAGGTCTAAAACCCTTAGGCCCTCACCCCTGAATATCCCTACACCCTAAACCCTAAACCCTAAACCCTAAACCCTAAACCCTGAACCCTAATTTCTGAACCCCCTAAAGTTCCTCCGCCGACTCCGCAGGCTCAGGGAAGGGTCTTCCTAACGCTGGCAACCCCCCCCCCCTCCCCCCGGACCCCGAAGCCTTCAGGGGGCTTCATCGGTCTCAAGCTGGGTTTTGGGTTCAGGGTTCAGGGTTTAGGGGTAGGAAGGCAAAAGAACCCTAAACCCTTTTAGGGATCAGAGCAAGGTGTGACTGTTAGAGTTCAGTGTCTTCGGAGCCACAGGGGCGCTTATAAGGGACCTTAGGAGCTTTTTCGGGGCTTCTTAGGTATATAGGGACTACAGAAGGTGTGTGTATATAGGGGGTATATATATATATATATGGAAATATAGGGAATCAGATGAGAAACCCTAAACCCTAAACCCTAAAACCCTAAACCCTAAAGCCTATGAAGGGTCCATTCTCGGGGTCCCTCCTTATACCCCTTCTCCCTAAGCTCCCCCTGGGCCATGAACGCGGACAGTCCTCTGGCGCGCCTAAGGCAAGCCAGGGATGAGGGTTTAGGGTTTAGGGTTTAGGGCTTAGGGCTTAGGGTTTAGAGCTGTTTCGGGTTTAGGATTTCGGGTTCAGGATGTAGGGTTTAGGACTTAGGGTTTAGGGTTTAGAAATCAGGGTTTGCGGGAGTAAGCCCCAAACCCTAAACTTGGGGAAGATCGGATGGCAGGCTTAAGTCAACTCATGCGGCCCAAGGGTAGCCGAGCTCCGAACCCGAGTTGAGAGGTCCCGCGAGACCCTAAACTTGAGATGTTCCCCCCTTGTACTAGCAGTCCTTAACAGGGATTCTAGTACCCTAAGCCCTAAACCCTAAACCCTAAACCCTAAACCCTAAACCCTAAACCCTAACTATTGTCATCCCTCTGAAAGGACTGTATTAGTCTAGGGGGAGAACATCCCAACCCTTAACCATCAACCTTGGGGTGTAGGGTTGAGGGCTGAACTCCGTCTAGAGCTTAAACCCCGGAACTCTGAACCCTAATTTAGGGTTTAGGGTTTAGGGTTTAGGGTTTAGGGTTAAAATCCTACAGGAGGCGCTCGCAATGAAATGCGCGAGGCGCGAAAGGCACAAGGCAGAAGCCGAGACAACGCGGCACCAGACGAGACGCAGCCCAAACCGGGGCTTAGGCTACAGCCACACCAAGGGCTTCAGATCTTTGAGTGCTAACCCTGTTTACGGTTTAGGGTTTAGGGTGTAGGGCTATCCCTAAACCCTACTTGGAACCACTTAGAAGCCCCTTTAACTGCCCTAACATGGTTATGAGTACAGTTGTTAGTACCCCTAAACCCTAAACCCTCAACCCTCAACCCTCAACCCTCAACCCTCAACCCTAAACCCTAAACCCTAAACCCTAAACCCTAAACCCTAAACCCTAAACCCTAAACCCTAAACCCTAAACCCTAAACCCTAAACCCTAAACCCTAAACCCTAAACCCTAAACCCAAGTCATCTGCAAACCCTATTCCCTCCACACTGTCGCACCCCGAACATACCCAGAGTCCACATGCCAGCTTTCGACAGACGTTTCGGCTTGAAGGTCCAGGAACCTTGGAACCCTAAACCCTAAACCCTAAACCCTAAACACTAAACACTAAACCCTAAACCCTAACCCTAAACCCTAAACCCTAAAAGACCCAAAGGCGGCTGGAGGAGCTGGTAACCACGCACCTGGCGACAAGTGCGGCCACAAGCTGCTCAGAAGCCTTCTAGAAGTTATTAGGGTCTAGGGTTTAGGGCTTAGGGCTAAGGGCTTAGGGTCTAGGGTTTAGGGTTCTTGGGGCTCAAGAGTATGAAGGGGTTTAGGGTTCAGGGGTGTGATGAGGCTTCAGGGCTTCAGGCTTGGGGAGGGCACTATCCGGTTCCTACGTCAAGGGTAAGGGTGGTTCGATAGCTTCCATCGCACATCGTGGAGGGCGCCAATCTGGTTCTCGTTACGAAAATCGGGCTCCCTCCTGGGTCCTGTTCAACTTTCGGACTTGCATCGCTCCGTGTAGCGCAAAAGTGGCAGGCGTAAACCTTTCTGCGTTGTAGGGCTGTCAGATAGGTTCGCTTCCTGCCTCCAGTCTAAGGGGATTTGCATTTCGCCGTGTTGCAAATGGCGCTCTCTCCTCGGTTCCGTGCACCTTCTCGTGCAGGGCAGACTTTTTGGCGGGCCCGAGCACTCCCACGCCTAGGTCCCGTCCATGAAGTGCAGGGCTGTCGTTGTCGTTACTTTTGCAACCTTGAACGTCTCCTTTTGTAGTGACAAACGTAGCACTGCGGCTCACTTCGCACAAGCGAGTTTGTGGACCGCGCAAGCGTAGTACGCGGAGGCACCCTCTGGGGTTGCCGTGACCCGCCAGCGCACGTGCTGGCCTTTTTGGGGTCTATTCATAGTCGGGGACCCTAAACCCTAAACCCTAAAGCCTGGGGGGGGTGGGCATAGAATGCTCTGGGGGTTTTCAGTGCTTTGGGGCGTGCTTTAGGAAATTGGAAGTTAAGTGTTTGCAGTTTGTGGGTTCGGGGTGCTCCGAGAGCTCTCCCCTGAACCCCTAAACCCTCAACCCCAAACCCTCAACCCTCAAACCTCAACCCTCAGCCCTCAGCCCTCAGCCCTCAACCACAATCCCAAACCCTCAAACCCCAATCCTTCAACCCTAAACTTTAAACCCCAAACACTGAACCCCGTAAGCCCGATGCCTTTGATCACGCGAAACCATCCCAAGCCCTTCCGAGCGGCCCCAGCCAAAACCCCACGACCCTAACCAAGGAAGGTTCCAACCCGAATCCCTAAGCCCTAAACCCTAAACCCTAAACCCCTTGCCCTAAACCCTAAACCCTAAACTCTCAGCCGGAAATGCTGACAGGTCCGCGTGGGGCTCGGGATCGAGATGCAGATCCCTGGAATGAGGAGCCCCCCCCCCCTCCCCTGTCCCCCAACGGGCCCACGCGTTAGGGTTTAGGGGCTTAGCCCAGGGCTTTTCAGAGACCAAACCCTAAACCCTAAACCAGTAGTGTTCCGAAAATCACCCCCCCCCCATGTGAAACCTTTTGATGAAGGGAAGCAGATGGTAGGGACGCCATAGGCGTAGTTCTCTAGATTAGGTTCTTCTTGGGGGTCCTATAAAAGTACGGCACCCTTGCAAAGACCCCCTAAACCCTAAACCCTAAACCCTAAACCCTTTTCCCTAAACCCCCACACACCCCTACAACCCAAAACCTGAAAGCGTGCTCCCTGGTAGGAGGAGTCCATGGTCGAGGCACATCCGCCAGGGCCAATGGTGTGGGTGTCCTAGGGTTTCGGGTTGAGGGTTTGGGGTTGTAGTAGGGTTGAGGGTTGAGGGTTTCGGGTGTAGTAGGGTTTGGGGGTGAGGATTTAGGGTTTCGTTGGGCGGGGGTTCATGTTCAGCGCCTTTTAAGGGGAGGGGGGGGGGGGGGGGAGCGGGGGCTTTAAGGCTTTAAGGCTTTAAGGCGTTAAGGCTTTAAGGCTTCAAGGCTTTAAGGTTTAAGGTTTAAGGGGTTTAGCGCTTAAGGGTGTGTTGGAAAGACCGACATGGGTTTACAACCTTCAACCCTAAGCCCTAAATCCTAAACCCTAAGCCGCACAAAACATGGAGAAGGAGAAGAAGCACATTTAGAGAATACGACAGAAGACGAAGGAAACTCCAAGGCAAGGGCTTAGGTGTTTGGTGTCGTCAGGTGGAAACGGGGGACCCAACCCATCAAAAACTAATTTTGATAAGGCTTAGGAATAGGGTTCAGCATAGGGTTTAGAGTTCAGGGTTTAGGGTTTAGGGTTTAGGGTTTAGGGTTTAGAGTTAGGAACGGAAGCCTTGCAGGAAGCTGTCGACTCCTCTTCCTTCGCATGCCGCCTGGAGCGACTGGAGGCGCTGATGGCCTCGCTGCCAAAGCAGCTGGAGGCTCTGGTAGGGGCTGAAGCCCCATGCAAAACCCCAAACCCTAAACTCTAAATCCTAAACCCCTAAACCCTAAACCTTAAACCTCCAAACCCCTAAACCCCTAAACCCTAAACCCTAACCCTGAAACCCTGAACGGAGGCCCTGCACAACCGCATCGATGCCCTGGTCCTGTCCGGTTCGCCGGGGACGCTGGGAACGCCATCGAGGAGGCCCAGCCAGGCAGGGCCAAGCAAACCTTTTCCTGGATGAGTGGTTTGAAGGGTTTAGGGTTTAGGGTTTAGGCTTTAGGGTTTGGCCCCTAAACCCTAAACGCCTAAACCCTAAACCCTCAGGACAAAAAGAGCCGCAGCTGCAGGTGATAACTTTTGGTGAAGCTCTCACCCTGCTTGTCTAAACAGCTGACAAGCCGAGTTTAGATTCACCCAAATGCGCCTTTGGGAGGAACACAGGGACCCCAGAAGGCTCCAAGAAATTTCCGGTACAAAGATCCCCTCAAGCCCCAGGAGGGTGGATTACGAAAAATAGGGGACGGATACCCTTTTTGGGGGTCCCGTTAAGGGGGTTCTACTCTATTGGGGGTATAAAAGAGGTACCCCTATGTTGGGAAAAACCCATCTTGCTGTTTTCTAAGGCTGCAGTCTGAAAAGGAAACGTTTCGTTGAAACCGTGTCATGCAAGATGTTCGTTCACAAACGGTTCGTTCAAAACGTGTTGTTCAACGTAATTGGGACCCAACCCCTGTGCAATTTCTAGAAACCCCTATTCAAATCTAGGGGCTAAGGGAACTAAACTGCGCAGTGAAAAAGCCCCAAAATCCTAGAACCCTAAACCCGGTGTTTGGGTCCTTAAGGGGGGGGGCCCTAAACCCTAAACCCAGGGAGGGTAGGGAAAGATGATTTCACGGGGCACGAAGCCCTCAACCCGAATTCCCGTGTCGAGGGCACAGAATGCCTAGGCTCTCACCCGAACCCGAAACAAACCCTACACCCAGCCCGAAACACCCTAACCCCTAACCCTAAGCCCTAGACCCTAAGCCGTAAACCCTAACCCCCCTAAGCCCTGAACCCCCAAACCCTAAACCCCTAAACCCCTAAACCCTACACCTCAGGTGCGTGTCGAGGACGGCGAAGGCCCCGTGAACCCCGAGGTCACCAGCATCGCCATGACGGCGCCGGTCTTGGCCTCCACCACGACCCAGCTCCTGGTTTGGAGTCAGAGGGTTCAGGGTTTAGGGGGTTCAAAGGTTTAGGGTTTAGGGTTCAGGGTTTAGGTTTTGGGTTCAGGGTTCAGGGTTTAGGGTTCGGGGCTTAGGGTTTCGGATAGGTTGGCTAGCCCAAAGAGCCCATATCCTTAATCCATGAATGTACCTGAAATGATACGGGGATCCTTTGAAATGATTTCAGGTACATTCCTCAAACTAAGGGGCATTGGGCTCTTTGGGAAGGTATTTGGGTGTTAGGGTTGCAAGGCTTTCGAGGGTTCACAGAGGTCACGTGGCTTCAGACTTCCAAGTGCGCATGTGGAATTGTGCTGGCACTTGCCCATTGCATGTAGTCGGCCTGGTAGTGCTATCGACGGTGTTTTCACACCTGTGGTGTGGGCAGCGGGGGGGGGGGGGGGGGTGGTTTAGGGTCTAGGTTTAGGGGTCCGTTGTGCGGGATTTTTATCGTACGGGCCCTGATACTTTGGACACCTTTATCAAGACAACCATCAACCCTACACCCATGTGCTTTCAACGTGAGTTTCAGCGTATGGGAATGGCAATTTAGTTTAGGGTTTAGGGTTTAGGGCAGCCTTGACCGCATTAGGTTAGGTGCCGCAGAGTGCATCCTACAATACCTCGCACAGCGAGTACGCCATAGCGCCTGCACTCAGGGTTGAGGACGTGCAACCTACTGTCCTTCCCCGGTTTAGGGTTGGGACCCCTTAGAACCCAATTTTTGCTGGGGACAGCTTGCCTACTCTCCCAGGTTCACGGCCCTTCACGAGCAGCTGACGAAGATCCGCCAAGAGAGCGAAAAAGAGGAGGAGGAGGGCGAGGAGGATACGGATGCCAAAGCGGGCCCGAAGCAGACTCGGTTCCTCAAGCTTCCATTGAACAGCAACATGTTGCTTTTTCCTTGTTCCATCTATGCCTTAGACCTGAGCGCGGTTCCCAAAAGCAACCCTTGAACCCAAGAATCCTTATCGGTTTCTGATTTCTGTACCGGAGAGCCCAAACTCCTAGGATCGAATTTGGGTCATACTATCAGGGCCACCTAGTGTAACGAATATTTCTTAACTACTCTACGGGCCAGTGAGCTCCCTGGGTAGGTTCATGTTGCTGCCGGGCAGCACCTCCTTGACGATTGTGGGCAAGAGGCTTATCCGGATGGGCAGTCGCCTTTCCCAGGGGAGTGCCCCCAACAACTACTCCTACTCACCGACACTTGGTGGGCACAGCGTGATATGGTATCAGGCATCGGGGTTTAGATTTTAGGGTTCAAAGAGAAAAGCTGCAGACTGCACAAAAGGTGGGAGAAGTGACCTTCAAACTCAAGCGCTAAGCACGAAGCACAAAACAACCCTAAACCCGGTCCGTTGCAAGTGCGCTAATCGGTTCAATACTGTGGGCCCAGTCTAAACCTGGAAGGCTACGGAATTCCCCTAAACCCTGAACCCTGAACCCCTAAACCCCTAAACCCAAACCCCTAAACCCTGACCCGGACCTGGGGGCGCCAAAGGTCCAAAGCTACCCTAAAACCCTAAAGCCCAAACGAGGACCTCAGAGGTGAAAAAGCCTTGCCCACCCCAAAAGCCGAAGAGCCCCTCAAACAGACCCAAATCCCAAAAAACCCTGGAACCCTAAACCTTAAACCCTTGAACCCACCCTAAACCTTAAACCCTAAACCCTACACCCTACACCCTTGAACCCTAAACCACCTACAAGCAGCCTTCATCCACACTCTCCACGCTAAAGCATCCTCAAGACCCTTGTAACGCCCAACCGAAGCCCAAACACGCCTCTAGCCCTAAACCCTAAACACCCTTCCCTAACCCTATACCCTAAGCCCTAAACCCTAAACACCCCTAACCACCCCGCAAAACAGATGCCGAAGCCAACGCACCGCTCAGGGCGCCGTTCAGCCTGCCACCCTCCTGTTGGGGGTGCTTGCCCCTCCTGGGGCTCCTCGGCTTAGGGATCTAGGGTTGAGGGTTTAGGGTTTAGGGTTTAGGGCTGGAGCAAGAATTGCTAAGAGTATTCCCTTATGGTCCCTATATAACTCTACTATACCCCAAAACTCTATTCCAATTATTAAGGGCGCTTTTCCTTGGCGTTTTGGTTTCGGGGGTTAGGGAGTAGGACCAGTCTGGGTTTTATGCAGGGTTTAGTGTAACCCCCTCCCCCCAAAATTCAACCTACCCCCTGATCGTAAAAACTCCTCATATATAATACTATAATATTGTGGGGGTAGAGGGGTTTAATATCAGGGGGAAGGGAATGAGTTTGCAGGGCTTGAGGTTGAGGGTCTAGGCGTCTTGTCAACGCCTGGGGGTCCTTAAACCCTAAACCCTGAACCCTAAACCCCAAACCAAACCGGATAGTTCACCTCGTCCTGTGTAGGAATGTTGCTTTAGAAAGCCACAAGGGGTTCGTTAGGGTTTAGATTTTGTGGCTGCAGGGGGTTTAGCCCTAAACCTTAAGCCCTCATTCCTAAACCCCCCTAAACCCTAAACCCGCACCCCTCAACCCCGCAACATGCAGGGGCTTTCAGGCTGGTGGGGGCTTTAGGTTTTGTGTTGCGTTTTGATAAGCTTCCCATTGACCTGCCTGATCGGTGGAAGGGCGGGGAAGCGGGAGCAGAGAGCAGCCGCCCCCCCCCCAACCCGAAACGCAGAAGCGCCGACGCCCGTACAAAAAAGCCCATCAAGAACAATGAAGTTTTGAGTATGGACATGTATGTATATATATATATATAGATAGATAGATAGAAATTCAAGCTTACATACATATACATATGTATACATGTATATGTATCCAATCCAAGTATACCTGGAATTGTAGATAATTTAAAGATACAGAGCCCTAGAACCCTAAACTCTCCTAAAACCCCCTCAAATACATTCAAATACAAAAAAAGGAAAGCACAACAACAACAGTTTTGAACAAAAAATATATCTATATATCTATATATATATTATAGAAAAACTAAGAAACAAAGGCTCCAAGAAGAGTTCGGCTGGGTGGCCTCCACTTTGACTTTTCTGGGGCTGACGCTCACCAGCCTCCTGCAGCTGCTGCGCCTTGGAGCGGAAAGAGTTGGGGGGGGGGGGGGGGGGGAAAAACCCTAAACCCTAAGCCCTAAACCCTTATAGGGGTTTAGGGCTTAGGGACTTAGAGTTTGGGATTTTAGGGCTTAGGGTTTGGGGGGTTTGGGGGTTTGGGGGGGGTTTTGAGGGGAAATTTCGGGAATTTCGGGGCCGTGTAGGGGATGTGGTGTGGTTGTGGGTTTCGGGTGGTCTAGGCTTTCGGGCATGTAGGCTTTGGGGTTTAGGGGCATCTAGGCTTGCCCTTCAACTTCGCTGTTGGCATGGGTAGTTCCGTTTAGGGTTTAGGGTTTGGGGTTTAGGGTTTAGGGTTTAGGGTTTAGAAACAACCCGAAGATCCGTCAACCAAGAGGTCAGCCAATCCTGCCTTTCAAAGCGCTCGAAGGACCCGACAGAACCCTAAAACCCTGAACCCTACAAAACCCTACAGAAACCCTGCAGAACCCTACAGAACCCTAACACTCTGATCCCAAGATTCAGGTTCGCCTGGATCTTGTCCCAGGGCTTCTTGGAGAATCTTGGTCGCTGAGTGGTCCCCCATTTTGGGTTTAGGGTTGGGGTTTAGGGTTTAGGGAGGTTAGGCTACCACAAAGGGTACCCTTGACATCATATGGTTATTCGGCTACCAAGGAATAGCTACACTGGCCAGGACCTCCGTGATTGGCGCCTGCTGGCCCACAGTGCGGCCACTGGGCTGGACGTTTTGGATTTCAGGGTCTTGGGGTTTCAGGGTTGAGGATGTAGGCGCTTCGGTAAACCCTAAACCCTAAACCCTAAGAGGGTTTAGGGCTCAGGGCCCCAAAGCCCGAAGGCCTTCTACGACCCCGTCTCGGGCACCTCTCTGGCGAACCGAATCTGCCGAAATGGAAGCCTCGACCTTCTCGGCGTCCTCAACGAAGCGCCTGGAGCCCGCACTTTCGCCTATGTGCCCCCCTATGCCGCATAAGCCCTAAGAGTTTAGGGTTTCGGGTTGCCTCAACCCTATAAACAAAATTAAGAATTTTAAGAAAAAAACGGGTTTGGGGGTGAATAAGATTTGTAGGGCTAGGGTTTAGGGTGCCTAAACCCTATGAGAAAGCGGCTTAGGGGTGAATAAGATTTGTAGGGTTAGGGCTTAAACTTTGGGAAGTACAGTGATTCCGGTGGGGGTTGACGCGCCCCTGTATTTAGAGCACGTGCCAAACAAGAGGCCATTATTCACAAGACTAGCTAGTTTAGGGTTTAGGACTTAGGGTTATGCGCAGTTTGAAGGTCGCAGGCTCCAGGGGCTTGTTTGAAGGGTTCTATACAACCTGTCAAACCCCGAAGCCCGAAGTTTGGCGTTGAGGGCTTTGGGGAGTTTAGAGTGAGAGGCTGGATCGCCACATAATCAAGGGACTCCACCTGGGACCCTCATGGTCATACCCTTGGGTTCCGGGGCCCTTGCGAAAGATGCTCCAAGGGAATATTAAGGGTCAAACAAGGAGCGTATTCAGGGAGACCTTTAGGGGTACAGCCTTTGGGGTACGAGTCTTAACCCCTTGACAGAAAGAAGCCTTCTGAAGGTCAACGCGTTTTGGTGCAGAGTTTTCGTCCAAGCCCTGCAGTCCTAGCGGCCCCCAAGCCCTACAAGCCCTAAGCCGGGTCATCAAGCACTGAGACCCTGAACCCTAAACCTTTGCGACCCTAAACCCTAAACCCTAAACCCTAAACCCTAAACCCTAAACCCTTGTATGTTGAAGTCCCAGGTGCGGGGCTTCCTCCTGCCGGCCTTCCTTCTGCCAGCAGTTTCCGACATATCGGTGGGCGTCCTGCTCAGCAGCATCTCCGTCGTCCATGGGGGTTTAGGTTCAGGATTCTGAGGGTTTAGGGTTTAGGGTTTAGGGTTTAGGGTTTAGGGTTTAGGGTTTAGGGTTTAGGGTTAGAGTTGAGGGTTTAGGGTTGAGCTTTGAGCTGCTGGACCGCTCAGTAGCACCTCTACTCCGCTTTAGCAATGGGTTGGCACCCTTTGCACGCAAGCCTCAACCCCTGAAACGTGAACCCTTCTTCATTCTTGAGCTTGGTGTCTAAGACGCTCAGAGTCCCCAGCCTTACTTTTAGGGGTTTAGGGTTGAGAGGGCTTAGAGCTTTACATGAGTCCTGAAGCCCACACAACCGAGAGCTCCCCCACACACCCCAAACCCTCCATGACGCTCTACCCTAAACCCCAGACCCTAAGAGCTTTGGGCCTCTGTGTGTGTGTGCGCACTTTGTATGAGAAAAAGCGTTGTTTTCCGCAAGGAAGCCCCGAAGTCCCAGGCTTCCACTGCCGTGTAGTGTTTACAGAGTGTAGGGTTTAGGGGCCCTTGGGGTTTAGGGTTTAGGGTTTAGGGTTTAGGATGGTTTGGGGCTTATAGGGTTAAAGGCTTCTACAACAAACCTAAGGAGCTGCTACTGTTTGCTCAAGCCCCCCCCCCCCCCCCCAGAAAACACAACGAAAAGTCTTCCTTATAAGGCTTCGGCCCTCCCTCCATGCCTACAAGGGAAGGCCCCGTTTGAAGGGCCATGTGCGCCCAGCACCATATACCCTCAGCCCTTATGAACTTTTCGGGTTTAGGGTTTAGGTTTTAGGGTTTAGGGTTTAGGACCCATGAACACTTCAAGGCATGGCGATCCTCATCTGGGCTTCCTACGTCACCGTTGAGGTGGCAGCCGCCCTGCGCCTGGTGCGGCTCGCACTGTGTAGCCCTAAACCCCAAACCCCAAACCCCAAACCCTAAACCCTAAACCCTAAACCCCAAGCCCTGAACCCTGAACCCTAAACCCTAAACCCTAAACCCTGAACCCCAAGCTTAGGTTCACAGGAACGCTTCTATGCAGTCTCCTTAGGAACCATTTGGCCTTCTTCATGGCTCATAGTACGGAAAGTCCAAGGAGGTGCCAAAAGTAGCCAAGAAGAGTTGTCATGGCATGATGCGGTGGGGGGTTTAACCAGACCGCAGCTCCACGTGAAACCTGACTTGTTCTTAGCCGGGACTGAGGGCATGAGGCACCCATACATGCCCTGATATCTACCCTTCAAAAGGGAGTATATGGAGGTGCCTAATTCCACTAATAAAACCGGGGGAGGGGAACCTTGAATGCTAAACTCTAGAGCATGAACCCGTCAGTGCCCTCAGGCTCCAACCTTACAGAACCCTAAACACCTTCTGACAACTCTCAACATTGTCATGAGTATTATCAAACCAGGGACTTCAGTATCCTGCGTAAAGCCTTAGAGGGGTTCTAAAGGGGAAAAAGGATACACGCTTCTCTGACTCCCCATTAAGAGCTAGTATGTCAAAACCCTAAACCCTAAATCCTAAACCCTAAACCCTAAACCCTAAACCCTAAACCCTAAACCCTAAAAGCCCCCCCCCGCATCTTGAGCCTGGAACCCTGCAGTCCCACCTTCGAACCATAAAGGCTGACAGCTTTGCCTGAAAGAAGCCTGGAATCGGCAAGGAGATCTCTTGAAGAGTCGTCGTATCTCCGACATGATCTTACCCTCAACCCAAAGCCTCGAACCGTAAGCCCTAAACCCTAAACCCCACAATGAAAAGAACATAAATCCGCAAGGAAGCCAAGCCTTTCCAGGGATGGTACCCCTAAACCCTAAACACTGAAGAAGCCCTAGACCCTAAGCCCTAAACCCGAACGAGGCGTGCCCTCCACCTGCTCCCATGCAACGAAACAGCTGTGGAGCAAGTCGACGCGTACCGCAGCTTCAAAAGCATCAGTGAGCCCTGGTATTTCTTCAGCTTTACATGGGCTTGGCTGTCAGCGTATCAGTAGGACTGAGGAGATGTTTTCCGATAGTAGCTAGACAGAGAGCGAGCGAGAGAGAGAGGGCACGTGAGTGAGTCAGCTGGACCCTTAGCCAAAAGTCTCCCACCAAAACCCTCCCCCCGCACGATGGCAGTAGGGACGCGCCCCTTGCACCCGTAGCGACAAACAACAAGGGCACGCCTCCCCAGCACAGGCAACTAAATCCACTTCTCCTATCAGACAGAGAGAGGCTACTAAGGTTGCGATGACGCAGTAGTGAAGGCCAAAAGCAGGAAGTCGGTGAACGGGTGAACTCCAAGCATAGCGGGCCTAGGATGAGCGGCGCATTGGCGTCTCCCTCCTCCTTTTCTGCCGCTGTGCCTCAGCAGCTGAATGAGTACACTTTACACTTGTTGGGATACTACAATCCCCAAAAGAACTGAAAGTGTACACTTTGTTGGGGGGCTTATGAACTCAGCAACTAAGGTGCCGTTCTACTGACTCTGGGCTTCACTGGTGGTGTCTGGCTCTCGAGGCAGGAATGACCAACCGCGTTGTAAGTCCTCTTCCTATTTTTTTGCTTGAGTGAACAGCTTAGGGCTCAAGGTTTTGGGTTTCTTTGCCAGGGAGCCTGAACCCTGGACCCCAAATTGGCTTTTTTGAGGAAGGTCTAGGAGCAGTTGGGCTCAGGATCTAGGTCTGAGCTTGCTGGTAAGATTAGAAGCGCAGGCGAAAGCTTCGGGTGAGCGTAGGGAGGTGTATGAGGGGTGAAGAGGGGTTCCCCACTGGAGGCCCATCTGAAGGGACCGTGCAACTACCCTACGATGACACCAAGCTCATGATTTCCAACCATGCACGTTTTGGGCTTGGGTCAAACACCAAAAACTCCATCAGACTACAGCTCCCTTAGGAGTCATGTACATGTTTTTAACCCCAAGGAAATCTGAAAACATACCATGTTTTGTCTAGACGTATTTTGAGGCCACCTCCCCCCCCCCTTAAACGGACATGCGCTGCTACGGAAGGCTCCACGATGCAGAAGACATCCTGCGAGACTGCGTGACACTTGTGATGGTCCTCGAGCTCGACGACCTAGCGCACCCTAGATAGACAGCCGGTGGTCCTCATGTGCTCGCTTGCTTCTAGCACAGGAACCTAAGCCAGTGCCCATGTCTGTTTTTGTATACACATACATGTTATACATACATATATATATATATATCCACACATATTTGTTTGTACTCATATTTATCTGGGTTTATATATATATATATATACATATATATATATATATATGCGGGTCCCTTTTAGACTCCCCATGCAAAGTGTCTCGCCCTTGTAGCTTTTAGGACTTAGGAGCTGTTCAAGCTTTTAGAACTTAGGGGTTGTTCAAGCTTTTAGGACTTCGGGGTTGTTCAGACTCTGGTTCATGTCAGTTCGGTTGATTGGAGCACCAAAGTTGAAGTCGAAGCCTTGATCTGACCTTGGATGTTGGAGAAGCAAGGTACAAGCTTCTGACAGCGCACAACAGGAAGGCCTACTTAGGCTGGAGACTGAAACTGCTGTTGAGACTTCTTGAGTTTTTTTTTGGGGGGGGGGTGAAGGGACAGGGGGGCCAACCCTAAACCTTCCAAAAGCCCGCTAAGCCCTCAAGTCCCAACAGAATCTTCATCCCCCTCCCACACTCCCACAGGTTCCATCACGACCTTTGTGATCCAGGAGGGCCATCAGACGTTGGGCTGCTCTCTGGCCATGGTAGCCACTCGCCCAGTGGTCCTCTTTTGCTCTGTTTCGGGGCCCCCCACGGACGTCAGCAAGGTTTTAGGGTTTAGAGTTGCCCAAAAGGGTGTCCCTGCTGTAGGATGGGTTAAACCTTCTAAAGCCGTATAAAAGTAACCAACCCCCCACAGCCGTATCTTTATTGTTAGTAAGGTTTCTGGGCCCACATACCCCCAAAATGGCTATTCCTGCTGTAGCATGGTCGGAATCCTAAACCCCAAACACCCTTAAAACCGTGAACGCCACTAGTGGCATCATTATTCTTTCATGGTTAAAGCCCTAAACCCTAAACACCCTTTACTAATGGTATCCTTACTATTTATTTAAACAAGAGATGAAAACAAAGTGCTTGCGGGACAACCAAGGTCAGGCTCTTAGGCCTCTTCCTCACGGTGATCTTTTTTATCAGCTTTCGCAGCTTGGCGCCATTCTAGAGTCGGGGTCTAGGGTTTAAGGTTTAGGGCTTAGGGTTTAGGGTTTAGGGTTTAGGGTTTAGGGTTTATGGGGCTTAGAGGGTTTAGGGGGTTCAGGGTTTACGGTTTAGGAGTTTGAGATTTAGAGTTTAGGGTTTAGGAGTCTGTGGTTCAGGGTTTAGGGTTTAGGAGTCTGGGGTTCAGGGTTTAGGTTTAGGGTTGTTTTGGGTTGAGAAGTTTTAAAGATCAGCTTCTGATTAGCAAGCCCTCTTGCTTTTGGGGAAACCCTAAACCCTAAACCCTGAGCCCCACAGGCCATCCTGAGGCAAAGCTTGCCAGGGTGAAGGGTCTCGATGGATCCAGCCATGAGCGCTTGACGCTAGACCCTTCAAACCCTTAAAAACCCTCTAAGCCCTGCAAACCCTAAAAACCCTTTAAAAAAAATCCGACAATAGGGCTGAGGGTTTAGGGATTAGAGTTTAGGGAAAAAAACCCTATGAAAACTTTAGAAAACCCAATCCACCCTCAAAGTGCTCTAAGTCATGGTTCTTCTGCGTCCCCGAAGGTCTGCCAAGCCCTAAGCCTTACGCTCCTAATCCGTCACCCTCTTACAAACTGGCCCAGTGGCATCCCTTTGCCCTTCTTTGCTGCTTCCGGGCTCCCTTAGTAGCCAACCCTAAAAAGGGTACCGTTATTACGACCCCTAAACACTAAACCCTGAACCCCATGGTTGCTGGGCTACCAAGCAATCTCAGGCGAGTTACATGGGCCCTCTTTATGGTACATAAGGGGCATAAAAGGGGTACCCCCTTTTAAGAGCTTATACTAAGGGACCATGTAACTACCCTTAGAAGCAAAGGGAACACCAGAAAAAAAAATGATGAGAGAGAACCGATTTCATGTCCTCTGGCGAGGATGCGTGCACAGCGCCGAGTTGGGCCAGGAGATCAATTCCGCTGCTTGGGCAGTAGAGGAGGTCGGAAGAATTACTGGTAGTATTCCCTTCTGGTCCCTTGAAAATTAAACCCATAATGGCCCCCAAAGCCCTATTCCAATTATCTACTTATTAAGGCGCCTATATTATGAAGCTCCACTTGTTGCTTTTGCTTCAAGTTTAGTGTTTCGAGCTCCGGGTTTCGGGGGTGGGGTCGCAAATGTTTGATAGTTCCCTTTATAGGGCTAAGGCTGACCTTAAGCCCCTAAAATCGTACACCCGTAAACTCCCCTAAGTCTCTAAACACCTAAGACCCTCCCTAATCCTAAACCCTAAACCCTAAACCCCTTAGGGAGAGTCCTAGGTGTTTAGAGACGTAGATCGGCAGACACAGGTTCTCTGTGGTGGCAACGTGGACTTCGTCTTCTCTACACACCCAAGTCTGGGGGCTCCCATCGTTCTGGACTTGGGGGGAGGTTAGGGTTTAGGGTTGAGGGTTTAGGGTTTAGGGTTTAGGGTTTAGGGTTTAGAGTGAGCACGTTTTTGCCTTAGTGCTTCGGGCTGGAGATTCAAAAGTTAGGAGCAGGGTTTGGGAGTTTTTTGGCCCCTCTGCGCTGGCTTCTGCTCACCTTGGCGCCGTCTCTCTCTCTGAGGATCTGCTCAAATCTCTGCTGATGGTAGCAGACCGTGTTTGAGCCTGAATTTGCTCAGTGCTTCTAGGCTGTAGTCTATGGTTTAGGGTAGAGCCAGTCGAAATGCTGGTCGATCTGGTACCTGCGAGAAAACATGCCACAATTCCTACGACCCTGCCTTGGACCCATTCATTCCCTTTCGGGACGTTCTGTGTGCTCGTCTAGCCCTCTTCTTCTAGCTTACCTAGCTTCACTCCTCCAAGCCTGAAATGCGCCAAAAGGCACATGATGACAATCGTAAAAGTGTTTAGGGTTCAGGGTCCAGTTTTCTGGGTGCAAAAAGCCCGAAACCCCTTAATTAAAGGCCTCAACCCTGAACCCGAGTCGGCCAATAAGAGGCCAGCGCCAGACTCTTTTATGTCTGACCTCGCCAGGTGCAGACGATCTCTCATCTTTTCTCTCAACAGTATTACCCGTATTCCATGCTTTAGAACTTGGATCACTTAGGAAACGAATGAAGGCTCTGAACCCTGAAGAACCTTGCACCCCAAACCCAAACCCCTAATATAGGGGTCGGAATCAATACTATTTGTATTCCTCTTGTCGTCCCGATAGATACCATTACACTAGTATAACCCCCAACACCATATTCTAGTTATTCAGGCCCTTACATTCACCCCTTAACCCTAAGCCCTAAACCCTAAGCCCTAAATCCTAAGCCCTAAGCCCTAAACCCTAAGCCCTAAACCCTAAACCCTAAACCCTAAGCCCTAAACCCCCTCTTCTGCTGCACGGAGGACACCCACAGCCTTGAGTCGGGTGCTCAGCAGACCCATGCCTGGGCTTTCAGCTACGAGCGGCAGGCGGACCTTTGGCGGAGGGTTGAAGGCTTAGGGTTTAGGGTTTAGGGTTTAGGGGTTAGGGCTTTCGGATTTTTAGGGCTTCGGATTGAGGTTTAGGGATTCAGAAATTCAGGCTTCAGGGCTTGTAGAAGCTTATGGCAGAAGGAGAGTTCCTTCTCTTACCTGTCATAAGTTGCCACGAATATTTGTGTTCCCACGAATATGTGAGGCTAGGGACTGCCAGGGCGCCCTAGAAACAAAGAAAACTCAAAAAGCCTCAACCCTAAACCAGCGACGCTACTTCAAATCTAAGGTTAAAACTATGGGCCCTTGGTATGGTCCCTTACCCTTGTTTATAGGGATCCGAAGTACGGGCCCTTGTTTTTTTAGTGTACATGGGGGTTATATAACCAGGGGCCCAAATAAAGTACCCGCCCCAAGGCTTCCTTTCCATCTAGGGGTTTGGGCTTTTGGGTGATGAAGGCAAGCTAGGGTTCAAGGGTTTGGGGCCTTCAGAGCGGGTTTTGGGCTTCGGGATTGAAGCCGAGTCGTCTTGGATTGGGGCATGTGGCAGTTCGCAGAAGCTCCGCAGATTTAGCCCCTTGCTTGGTGGCCCCGATAACTGGAGTATCTCTAGCAACAGCTCTCGCAACGCGATACCCTAAACCCTGAACCCTGAACCCTAAACCCTAAACGATGATTGCTCATCGCGTTAGCCCCTCGATGCCTGAAACGTTGGGACTCAGCCGGCTTCAAGCTCTTTGTGCCGATCAAGGCATCGGCAAGAAAGGCTCTGATTGCTGCTACTCGGCCCTCAAGGAGCCCAAACTCTCGACTCCTACACCCTACACCCCTAGCCCTAAACCCTAAACCCTAAACCCAGGACCAGGCCATGTTCAACATCACCCTCCAACAGGGCCAAGTCGCGGTCAAGCGCGCGGCCTCCGTGGAGGAGAGCGGGTTCAGGGTTTAGGGTTTAGGGTTCAGGGTTCAGGGTTTCTTGCTGTTTCCGGTGAGTGCATTGCAGGGTTCCTCATGGGTTCCTCATGACGCTTAGGTGCCCTTGTTAGCCCCAGTGCAGGCCCTCATCTTCCTATTTCCCTCATCTTCCTATAGAGACCCAGCGGGTCACTTCCCGTTTCTCACCGAGTTGAGGTTGGTGGGTGTAGGGGCTAGGGTTTAATTTAGGGTTTCCATCTCGACGGAAACCAGACCTGTCCTGTGCAGCACAGTGCCGCAGAACTAACTACCCTTTCCCCTCAAGCGCTGAGCTGGACATGTGAGACAGCATTTTTCAAGTTGGTTGGTTCACTCACTCATTGTAAGTGAATTCGGGCTTGAGGGTTTAGGGCCAGGGGCATGTTTCTTCAGGATGGGTATCATGGGTGTCGTTTGTATAAAAAGCTTCTCTGGGGCTGACAGCGAGAGTATACTGAACACTATCTTTGCTCCTGTGCAACCCATAAACCCTAAACCCTAAACCCTACACTCTAAACCCTAGATGCCTTACACTCAACGGGTTGCAGCCACTCGAGGAGCTGCAGGCATACCTGGCGCTCACTGATCGCCAGGTGCTGTGATGTCAGCTTTAGGACTTTCAAGGGGTTTAGGGTTTAGGGTTTAGGATTTAGGGTTTAGGGTTTAGGGTTTAGGGTTTAGGGTTTAGGGTTTAGGGTTTGGCTTATAGTTGCTTGGGGTTGAGGGTTTAGAGTTTAAAGTTTAGGGTTTAAAGCCTGGGGTTTAGAGTTTAAGGCTCAGGGCTTCCAAGGTGTCAGGCTATGCGTGCCATGGGGAGCTCGAGTCCCAGGGTTTAGGGTTTAGGGTTCAGGGGGTACCGCTACCAGTCCCTTTGAGTGCATTCCCAGCGTTGCTGGCGCAGTGTTTTGCTGAAGCCGGGCATCGCGATGCCAACACCCTAAACCCCAAACCCCAAACCCTAAACCCCAAACCCTAAACCCTAAACCCTAAGCCCTCTTGGCGTTGAGGGTTTATACGCTTTAGGGGGTTTGTGGGAGCAAGCCCAACCCCCCAAGCACCCCCAGGGTCCAAAAGTAGGGCCCAGCTAGCCCTTAACCCTAAACCCTGAAGCCAACGTGGGTTTAGGGTTTAGGGTTTAGGGTTTAGGGTTTAGGGTTTAGGTTTGGGGAGGGGTCAGGGTATAGGGCACCACTCGTACCTTCATTCCCCTTTGTCATGACTGGGGATTCCATGAACTCGTTGATCCTCAAACAAGAAGCCCTAGTTGCGGCTCATCCCAACGAAGCCCTACTAAACCCAAAACGTTACAGTGCTAAACTGCTAGAAGATGTTTCCGAAACTTATGCCCTGGACCATACATTCTCGAGATACTAAGCCCCAAACTGTAGCTCCGAAACTTAAGCTACGAAACCACTCTAGGCCCTAAGCCCCAAACCCTAAGTTTAAAGCTTGAATCCTTCACTGAGGCATCGGATGGATTCGTCACCGGATGTGAGGCCTGGATTGTTGTTTGAAGGCACCCCTTGGCCCCCCCCAAAAAACCTTGAAACCTGGCGTGATTTCTTTTCTTTGGGTTCGGTACGTGGGGTGTAGGTTCCCTAAACCAAAAACCTCTAAATTGGTCTTAGGGCGAGGTTCAGGACTCTGAGTGTAGTAGGTAGTTTGGGGCCTTGCAACTTGGGTGGTGGCTAAAGGAGATACTTCAAGTGATTTTTGCAGTTTTGGGGTTCGGGTTTAGGGTTCTCCCAACTCACATCTCCTCATGGCTCAAGAACACAGGGTTCAGGGTTAAGGATTTAGGGTTCAGGGAAACCGTCGGGACGACATGTAAAACCCTTTAGCCCTACAGCCCTCAAGCCCCTAAAGTCCTTCAGGCCTGAAGCCCTTGAACGCCTCCAGCCAGAAGATCCCTTAAGCCCAGAATCAACAGGCCGAAGGCCCCATGCCCTGGGGTTTAGGGTTTAGGGGTTTAGGGTGCAGGGTTTAGGGTGCAACCCCTAAATCCCCTGAATCTTGCATGCCCCTTCACCCGGCAGGATCTCGGCCGCGAATCCCTGGAGGGCGCCTGGCTGTGGCCGGCGATGGAGGCCGCGGGCGCCAGCAACTGCCAGCAGGCCTTCCCAGGGCTTTAGGAGCCTAGAGGGTTTTTTGAGTTTTAGAGTTTTAAGGTTGAGGGTTTGGGGTTTAGAGGGTTTTTTGGGTTTTAGGGCTTTTGGGCTTTTGGGTTGAGGGATTTTAGGGGTTTAGGGTTTTAGGGTTTTAGGGTGTAGGGGTTTTTTTGGTCTTGGGGTTTAAGGGTTTTCGGGCTTTGGGTTTTTTGAGAGTTTAGGGGTGTAGGGGTTTAGGGGATTAGGGGTTTAGGGTGTATCTGGGTCTTGGGCTTGGGGATTTTGAGGTTTGGTGTGAGGGGGCTCTTTTTTCAGCGTGTTTCTTGGTGTTTGTTGTTGGTTTCTTTTTTTGCGTTTTTTGTTTGAGAGGGCTGGCTTGAAGGCCCGAAAGCCCCAAACCCTGAACCCCAAACCCTAAGCCCTAAAAAACCCTGAAGCCCTTAACCCCTTAAACCCTTAAACCCTGAACCCTAAAACCCTAAGCCCTTCAGCCCTTAAACCCTGAAACCCCTGAACCCTAAAACCCTAAGCCTCCAGCAGCGCTTCCTGTCGGAGGCCAAGCCCTTCTGCGACCGCCGGGACATGCCCCTAGCGCGCCTGCTTTGCCCCACAACCTGTGGCCTCCTGGCTCCAGGTTGAGGGTTTAGGGTTTAGGGTTTAGGGTTTAGGGTTCAGGGTTTAGGGTTTAGGGTTTAGGGTTTAGGGCTGGCTGCTTCGGTTTAGGAGGCCTACCTGCAACCCCAACCAGAGCCTGCAAACAGTGGGTGGAAGGTTTAGGCCCGTGGTGTGATTGGGGGGGGGGGGGTTGGGGTTAGGATTTGGGGCTGAAGGTTTAAGAGACCGGCCGCCCGTGCTACCCCTGCGCCCCTGTGGTTTGCGGGTTCGGGTTTAGGGTTTGGGTTTAGGGTTTAGGGCTTAGGGTTCAGGGTTCAGGGTTCAGGGTTTAGGGTTTAGCCCCTTGCCTGTGCTGTGAATGGGGGCTTGGTGTTTGGGGTTGAAGGTTTTCGGTTAAGGGTGTGAGCTTTAAGGTTGGTTTAGGGTTTGGGGAGAGGTTTGGGGTTTGGGGGCGGCCGGATACCATGGTGGGGGGGTGGGGGGGGGGGGGGTTTTGTGCAGGGGGGATAATTTGTTGGGGGGGGGGGGGGGGGGTGACCAACACGCGGACACGGAACCATTTATGCGGGGGTCCCCTATTTCGTAAACCCCCAAGTAGGTCGCCTGAACGATTAGCATGCTTATCCTTCTTGCAATTCGTGAGAGTTTGGAGATGTTCCGCCTTTTTCTAACAGTCCTTGATAGGGATGATGGTTCCCCCTATCATACTCCCTATGAAGGACTGTTAGTATGAAGGGGGAACATCCCAACTTATAGTACATTTTCAACCCTAAACCCTAAACCCTAAACCCTAAACCCTAAACCCTAAACCCTAAACCCGAAGCCCTCATAGTCTCAAGCCACTCTGAGTCGAAGCGCCACGACATGACCGAGGTTGCTTCGATGCAGCCAGCGGCCTCTTTGCCGGCAACGGCTGCAGGCTGCTGGCCCCTCTGGGGGTTTGGGGCGTGTGGGGCCTCTGTGTTTCTTTTGTTGCTAAGCTATAGAACTTGGTTCCAAACCATGTCGGTTGGAAGATATACCTGGTAGGCTCTGAGTCCACGAGCCTGAAGCCTAAGCCCTACTTCTTTCGACTTCCGCGTCAGGCAACGTTGCTACCAGGAGGCGGACTTGTTCAACCGGACCCTGAGCACGGCCCCATGCGAGGACCCGGCTCACATTGCTTCCACCTTTGCAAGGATATTTGAAGCGTAGACCGGTTTGGAGGTTAGGGCGTTTAGGGTTTTGGAGCTTACGTAAGCTTGAGGTGACTGAAGCTTCAGGGCTTACGGTCAAGGCGGGTTTTGGCTTTCGGCTTCCTTATTAGGGGCATTGTGATTTTTAGGCGCTCGGGGTTGAGGTTGTTTAGGGTTTTTAAGGGTCTACGGCTTGTAGGCAGCAATGCTGAAAGCTGTGGGCTTCCTTCCAGGCTTGCGACGACTAAACCTATGCACCAAAAGCACACCTCAAACCCTGAACCTGGACGACTCATAACCTTCTTCCCGCAAGCCCTCAACACCCCGCATCTACACCCGAAAGCTGCAAAGGAAGCCTACATGTGAGCCTAAACCCTGACTCCCCCCCCCTCCTCCTCCCCAAAAGCCCATGCACCAGAACCCCAAAACATGTGCCACAAGACCCTAAGACCCCACAATGCCCCCAAGCCCCTAAAACTTGATGGCCCCAGTGGTACCCTGTCCCTTTTTTTAGGGTTCAAGGTCCCCTTATAAAGTTACCAACCCAAATATGGATGCCCTTGTTGCTGTATGGTTACTGGGCTACCGGCTGGGTTGTGCTTTGGGCGGTTGATCTCCCTTCCTTCCTTATAAGGGAACCTACTCACAAACAATTTGCTAAGGGTTCAAGGCACAATTCAGCCAGGCCTATGACCCTGCAATGCCCCTAAGAGCGGTAAAGAGCCCTTAAAGGCAAGAAAGACTTTGGGAGGCGGCTAGAAGGAAGCGCAAGGATGCTGCAAGACCCATCAGCCCCGCCCTCCGGCTTTCGGTTTGAGGGTTTAGAGTTTCGGGTTTAGGGTTTAGGGTTTTGGGAGGCTCTTCGAGTTTTTTTGGGTGGAATTATAGGGGCTTACCCCCCCCATGAAAACAAAACACCTGGCAAACAGCCTCCGCAGCCTCAGCCATCAGAATCCCAAAATGCACCCAACAGCCTGCAGGGTTTCGGGTTCAGGGTTTAGGGAAGCCCTTACTCCCCAAAACCCGCACCTTCAACCCGACACAAGCCCCGGACCCTAAGCAACGGAAACCTCAGAACCTAAAGTCCCTCGACCCCAAAAATCCCTGAAGCCGAAAAGCGCCTGTTAACAAGTACTACCCCTAAACCCTAAACGAACGCTCGGCCGAGGGCCTTACAGCCCGAGCGCCCAAGCGAAAAGAGAAACGGAAAGGTGAGGGTTAAGCCTCACCGTCTGTCCTGGACAGGCCAACGGACATCGGCCTTTTTTACGACAACGTCAGTACTCGGCTAAGGGATGGCCGGCACCCAGACCACCTTTTATAACCCCAAATCGTAACCCTTTGCCTCTAAAAGGGGTTAAGGGTTTTGGGTTCAGGGTTTGCCGGGCCCCCCCCCCGAAGGCCCCCTGGCCCCTGGTGGCTGGATTCCTGGACCGGAGGCTGGCAGGGGTCCAGGCAGGCTGGTTGCTCAATTTGACCAGCCCCCCCCCAACCAAGAGGGCCCCTAAGCCCTCTAGTCAAGGGCCTCCTAGCCAAGGGCCCCCGGGCCAAGGGCCCCCCACAGCCAAGGGGTTCCGGGCCAAGGATTCAGAACGGTTCCCCGGCCAAGGGCCCCCCTTGTAAGGGCCAGGCTGAAACCCCCCAAATCAGCAAAGGACTCTACGGGCCCTGACGTGCCGAAGGCCCGACAAGGGCCGAGGCTACCCCGAACCCCAGCTCAAACCCTAACACCGCAAAACCCTGCGAAGGCCTTCAAGCAAATAAGGGCCTCTACGGGCCAAAAGGGCCGAGGCTACCCCGAACCCCAGCTTAAACCCTAGCGATTGAAATACTCATTGGCGAAAAAATAGGTTCTTCAAATGAATAAAGCCTCTACGGGCCCTGACACGCCGAAGGTCCGGAGAGACCCCAAGAGCCACCAAAAGGCTTCAAAAGACTTCAAAAGGCCCCCTAAAAGAAGGGGGACCCCAGGATGCCCGTACCCGCAATGAAAAATGCGAGTTTTTGTACTGAAATCGATGGTTTTGGGCACCCCTTCATTTTACCCCGGAAGAGCCAGGAAAGCCCCCAGGAAGCCCCCAAAAGGCTCCAAGAGCCACCAAAAGGCTTGAGGCCCTTAAAGAAGGGGAATCCAGGAGCAGGGAGAAAGGGTTTCCCTGACCTTCAAATAAATAAGGGCCTCTACGGGCCCTGACACGCCGAAGGCCCGAAAAGGGCCGAGGCTACCCCCAACCCTAGCTTAAACCCTAACAGCGCAGCTTTAAAAACATCAAAGCAAGCATCAGGGCACAAGAAAATAAATTCCATAAACCCTAAACCCTAATAGAGTATAGTTTGGGCCCTCCCCTGACACACCCCAAACCCTAAACCCTAAACCCTAAACCCTAAACCCTAAACCCTAAACCCTAAACCCTAAACCCTAAACCCTAAACCCTAAACCCTAAACCCTAAACCCTAAACCCTCCACCAGGACCTGGAGTCCCAGGGCGACGATCGCAGCCCTGCTTGGTCCCGGCTCCCCGGCCATGGGTTCCGGCTTAGGGCTTAGGGTTTAGGGTTTAGGGTTTAGGGTTTAGGGTTTAGGGTTTAGGGTTTAGGGTTTAGGGTTTAGGGTTTAGGGGGGGGGGCCTTAGGCGGCTTGGGTGGCTTAGGTTTTTAGAGTTTATTTAGGGTTTAGGGACTTAGGGCTGAGGGGGCTTGGGGTGGCTTAGGTTATTCAGGGCTTGGTGGTTAGGATTTTAGGGTTTTGGGTATTAGGGGGGGATCTTGGCTAGGAAGATTGTTCGGAGGGTTTAAAGAGCCAATCGGGCTTGGCTGAGTGCTTGCAACTTGCAATGCTTGGGGCTTTGCCTTTGCAGAACAACGCTTTGCTACAAGCGAGCAGCCTTTTGAAATGGGTTTGGTGACCCTTGTACAAGAACCACGCCTAGACGCGTTTTGAGGGTTCAGGGGGCTGCGCAACTATTCTTGGGTGTTTCAAAATTTGGGTACTAAGTGACGCCTTTGTACCCCATATAGCAGTATCCCCTTATAAGGACCCCAACATACCCCTTATATCGTAAACCCCCATGTAATTGTACATTGCGTATTGGCCTTTGCATTTCAGCGTCTGAGCCAAGAACTTTTAGGACATGCTTGAGGAACTCCGCGGAACACCCTAAACCAAAAGCCCGATGACATGTCCCCGCAGCCTCGTTTCTTAGGGCTTTATAAAGGCTCTAGGGTTTAGGGTTTAGGATTTAGGAAAATTTAGCGTATTGGGATATTAGGGTTCTTGGGTTTAGGGTTTAGGATTTAGGGCTTAGGGAAATTTTGGGTGTTAGGGTTTAGGGTTTGCTGAGCTAAGCTCAGGTGGTGGCAAGGCTTCCGCCAAGCCTACAGCAACATGACCTCCATCGACCCCTCCACCCTCACCTTCGCTGCGGGCCCCTGCTCCTTCTTGACCATGCAAGAGGAGCTTGCGGGTTTAGGGTTTAGGGTTTAGGGTTTAGGGTTTAGGGTTTAGGGTTTAGGGTTTAGGGTTTAGGGAGCCGAGGGCTAAGAGTTTTGGGGCACACCCTCGTGTAAGGCGAAAACCTTAAGCCCTGGAGCTGCGCACGCACAGCACGTCCATCCGGCCTCATGGGCAACAACTTTGTTCCTAAACCCTAAACCCTAAACCCCAAGCCCTAAACCCTAAACCCCAAACCCTAAACCCTAAACCCTAACCTTCACCGGAAGGACCACATCCGGGATTATTTCTGCCACGGTGGCAATGACCGCCCTGGCACCGCCCTCTGCCCCGTCACCTGCGGCTGTGCTTCCGCACCGTGGCCTGCAAACCCCCTAGTGCCAAAGGGCTTTCAAGGTTTAGGGTTTAGGGTTTAGGGTTTAGGGTTTAGGGTTTAGGGTTTAGGGTTTAGGGTTTAGGGTTTAGGGTTTAGGGTTTAGGGTTTGGGCGGTTTAGTAGGGTTACTCAAGGAAATCTCCTTCTATTCTGCTAAGGCAAGGCCAGGGTGTTTTCTCGTGCCTCCCATTGGACCCTAAACCCCAAACCCTACAAACCCGAAACGCTAGGCTTCAGAAATGTCGTGCTTTCGCTTTCGGGAGGAAGGAGGGGGCCTGGAGAATTCAGAGTGCAGGGATTCTGGGTCTAGTACCTCTGCTGTTTGGGGCTTAGGGCTTCAGGGTTTAGGGTTTTGTGGCTTCGGGCTTAGGCTGGGATGTTCCCCTTATACTAACCGTCCTTAATTGGGCTTTTTATAGGGGGTACGACAACCCCTATGAAGGAGTGCAAGGTTTCTGGGTCTAGTACTTCTGGTGTGTAGGGCTTTACGGTTTAGGGGTTTTTTGCTCCGGGCTTAGGTTGGGATAGGGGGTTACAATAATCTCGACCCTAAACCCTGAACCCTCAAGCCCCCTGTAATTTGAAATTATTCAGAAAATTAACAAACCGAAACTCCTCGAAACTTTACTCGCCGGACCTGAACCCTTAGGGGGTTTAGGGTTTAGGGTTTAGGGTTTAGGGTTTAGGGCTTAGGGTTTAGGGTTTAGGGTTTGGGAGTGCTGAATTTAAGCCCTACATCCAAAGCTCTCAGGGCGTTCGGGGGGTTAGGGTTCTCAACTGGTGGTTGTTCGCAGTTGTTTAATTCAGTTGAACAATCATTTCATTGAATGAATTCATGTTTGGAAGATTCATGATCCAAATAGTGTGTGACTATTGTGATTCTTCTCAAAAAAGCATGGAATAGGGTTCAGGATTTGGCCCTGGCGGTTTCGGGCTTAGGGTTTAATAGCTTGCACGTATGATCTTGCTCTCTTCGGCCTAAAGACTGCCTTGAGCATTCCCCCCCCCCCCCCCCCCCGAGTGCAGAGAGAGAGAGAGAGAGAGAGAGAGAAAGCATTCAGAACATCACCATGCCGGAGCCTTCCTTTTAGGGTTTATGGCTTAGGGTGTAGGGTTCAGGGTTTAGGGTTTAGGGTTTAGGGGGTGTGGGCCGAGAACCTGCAAGACTTCCTGGCTGATTAACGGGGTTTTGGAGGTTTAGAGCTTTGGGGTGAGGGAACCATAAACCCCATAGATGGGGGGGGGGGGGGGTAACTAGGCTCCCGTTTTAACTATTTCCTAAACCCTAGGCCCGAAATCCAAAAGAGACCCCAAAAGAGGACACCAGACTTGCGGATGTTCACCCTTATTCTAACAGTCCTGGATAGGGATTATAATGGGGATACCCTAAACCCTAAACCCTATAATCCCTGTTGAGGACTGTTCGTATAAGGAGGAACATCCCAACTCCAGACCCTCATCCATGCATCTTTGGCATGCGCGGTTTAGGGTTTAGGGTTTAGGGTTTAGGGTTTAGGGTTTAGGGTTTAGGGTTTAGGGCGGGCCCGGGGGTTGCATGAGTCAGCTATCATCGTCAACCGTTTTAGGGCATCAGATCCTCCCACTGAGCCCAGGGGACCATCTCCAAGTGGTGCCCTAGCACCTGCTGAGCGCTGAATTGCCAACGTGCGGCTCATTGGGGGGTCACTCTCCGGGTCCCCATTTTGGGCAGCCCTGCAAAAGGGTTAAGGGTTTAGGGTTTAGGGTTTACGGTTTCGGGGGTGCAGCATAGGAACCCAAGAAAGAGTTAGTAAAGAGGGACCGCAGATGAGAGGACCCGCCCCGGCCCGCATCTGTCGTATGAGGGGCTACTTCGCTGAAGAAACGGCGCGCCCAAGGCGTTTTGAGAGGACAGGGTTTCAAGGGCCATCCTAGCAGAACCGTCGGGAGTAGACGAACTACAGGGTCCCCTTCTTGACCCCAAACCCTAAACCCGAAACCCTAAACCCCCGTTTGATTCTTTGCCTCCCTGAGGAGAAAACCCTACAACTTCTCAAGCCTTAAAGCTTCATAATAGGGTTTAGGGTTTAGGGCTTGGGATGTTCCCCCTTATACTACCAGCCCTTAATGGGAATCAGAATAGGGGGGGGGGGGGGTACTATAATGAAGGACTGTTCGTATATAGTACAAGGGGGAGCATCCCAACATAAAGCCCCTAAAGCTAAGCCTTATAAACCCTGTAGTTGCCAATTCTTGGTGGCCCAGTGGTGCCCTTGTCTGTAGTTACTAGTTACAGTGTTTTTCGGGTTTAGGGTTTAAGGGTTTTTAGGGTTTAGGGTTTTTTTAATGGTTTACGGTTTGGGGTTTTTTTAGGGTTTCGGGTTTCAGGTTTGTTTAGTCTTGGTGGCCCAGTGGTGCCCTTGTCCCTTTCTTTGTTCAAGGTTCCCTTATAAAGCTACGAAACCAAAACAAAGGGTACCCGGGTACCCCTATGGGTTACTGAAACACTGGGCTGCCAGCAATTGCTTCAGAACCCCCAAAAGGATTGTTCCTTTTTTGCGGGGGGGGGGGGGGGGGGGATTCTCAAAGCAAATCGTAGGATAGTCACCCACGAGCTGTGCAAGGCCTCAGCTGGATGATTTCATGTCGGGGCCGGAATGATTATTAGTATAGGGTCCCTAAAGATATACATGTACTATAATTCACCCTCCAAGACCCTAATCTGACTATTTAGGCCCCTTTTCTCACGGTCAAGGTTTAGGGTGCAGGGTTTATTAGGTCGAGGGATTGCGGCTCTAGGGTCCATGTCCTTTTTCTCTGCTGTCAGAGCAGTAAGCGTGCCTGGCGTAGACCTGCACAACGCAAGGGCATCCCGGCATGGGTATCAGGACGGGTATGCTATAAGCACTGAAAAAGGCTTTCCATGGGGTTGGTTTTGGGGATGTAAGTACTAATGCCCATCATGGCATAGCAACACCCTGACACTTAGGGTTTGGGTGGGGGGGGGTGTTGGGAAGTACTGCCATGTTTTCGAGACGCCGAGCTCGACAAGCCTTGAAAATGCGCTAGACCTAGGCGAGGGCCCGATGTGTTACGCGGACGCCAAAAACGCATATCTGCGATGCAAAGCGCTACGCCGAAACCTGCGGCAACGCTTGCGCCTGATCCTACGCGAGAGCCCCAGAACAGGGTGGGTGACCGCGCGGGACAGCAACCGAACCCTTTTTACCCTTACGGGCTTCCATACGGTTGCCACAGTTTGAGCAACATAGAGGGAGATTGGGACCCAGGTAGGAATCAAGATGGTTCCAGGTGAGAGGTTCGAGGCTTCAGAAGTAGATGCTGCTTGAGTTCAGGGGTGGAAAAGAATGCCGGGGATGCGCAACAGTACGCAACGATCGCACTGCAAGTCGCAAAGCCCTTGTGTTTGCAACGATGCGTTTCAAATCACGCAGTCTGATTCCCAAAGGCAAGAGGTTCAGACGATGTTGATGTTAAAAAGTCTGCAAATCTAAAACTCCTACCTGTGAAGGAGGTAAAGACCTTGGTTTCTTAAAGCCCCCTTCTCGAACATCTCAAGCTTCGTAGCTGAGTAGATGGCATAGAAACCTTTTGGGTTTATACACTCCTACCACGACTAAAAGGTCAACATCCCCCAACACCTAAACCCTAAGCCCTAACCCTAAACCCTAAACCCTAAACCCTAAACCCTAGATCCCGGATGGTTGAGGCGAACCTCTGGCCTTCTAGGGTTAAGGGATACGAGGAGGGACCACCCCTAGAAGGGACCCTTCATCCCACTGCCCTCCTTGCAACTCTGCACAGACATACACATATATATTTTATAGGTATATACACAAACATATCTGTATACATATATCCGCCCAAACAAAGATATACATATGTGTATGCATGAATATATATATATATGTATGGATATATATATATATATGTATATACACACATGCATCTATTTATAGATAGATATGCATCTACGTATCTATCCCTCTAGGTCCCTTCTGGTACGGTCCCACCTTTGGTCTCTTGAGTGCGGCTTCGCGGCTGCGCGGTGATCCCCCCATCAGAAGCCAGGGCTACGGAGATTCGGAGGGTTCCTCCCGATTTATTGTATTTTTGAATTGAGGCCTTGGGTTTTGGGTTTTTCTTTGGATTCAGAGTTTAGGGCCCTTTTGGGTTTCTGGTTTGTTGAACTTAGGCTTTGGGTTTTGGGTCTTCTTTGGATTCAGAGTTAAGGGTCTAGGGTTTTTGGATCTCTTTGTATCACAGGTTCCATGAAAGCAAAAGGTAACTGTAAAAAAACAAAGCCCAATCTCGAATAGAGCCCTTTGGCGCGCACCGGGTTGCGACCTCCCAACTTGCATGTCTCAACCCTCAAACCCTGCTTCCTTATCCGTCCACAACCTACCTTTTTTGCCCCTATAAAGCCTACGTTGCTATTCGGGTCTGTATAAGGTCCCTACAAGAAAGTAGACTCTGCACAAGTTGCGGCTATTGAGGACCTTATATCCCCCCATTTTGGAATTATGGCGTATCAAGGGCCGAAATTAAGGGTTCAGTGCTTAGGATTCCCAAGTTGCGTTACAGGCTGGTGCTGGAAGAGGGGGTCTCGCCGCCGCGCGTGAAAAATGGCACGGCCGAGACCGGAAGATTCCTTCTCCTGCCTCTCGAAGACGTTCGAAAATTGGGTGGGGGTTAGTGTGAATTTGGAGTTGCTTTCAAACGTGAAGGGAAGGCGGGGGAGAAGGGGGGGGGGGGCCTATGAGAAATCTGCAAGAATTCTTCGGAGAAGGGGGGGGGCTATGAGAAATCTGACAGAATTCTTCTCTTCAGTGTGCTTATAGCTGGTCGGGCTTCAGAGACCTCCGGTTTAGGGCTTTGGGTTTAGGGTTTAGGGTTCCTCAACCCTCAACTCTGAACCTGTTGGCAAGGCATGATTGTCAGAAGTGCTGAGACACCACGTGGTCACCACAGAAGGCCCCGAAGCCCCCTTGGTTTAGGGTCTAGGGTTGGGTGTTTACGGTTTAGTTCCTAAACCCTAAAACACCCCCCAACCACACTCGCGAAACAGCTCACAAGCGGCGGCAGGCTCTTCGAGAGCCGCTTCCTTGCGACAGCGACGCCAGAGATGACTTTAGCAAGCTTTGCAGGCCTAGGGTGTGGAGTTTAGGGCTCGGGCTGGGAGGAGGGGCCGGCGGTCGCGCAAAAGTTTTGAACCTTGGACGGTCCCCCAGCACCGAAACCCCAAAGTCCCCAAATGCTAGGCTAAAGCCTCCTAAAGCCTTAACAGCCATTGCACTCTGCAGGCCCATGTCAGGCTGAAGAGGTGGACCTCTTTCCCCGGTTGGGCTTGTGAGCCCGGATTAGCTTCGGAAATCCTGGCAAATAGATATTCAAACAGCATCCTTTACGTACAGATGATGATAATAATAATAACAATAACAAGAATACTGGTAATTGCAAGTATTTATTAGAAGTTTCTTGTGTTCCTCAATGGGGTTTAGGGTCGACCCCCAGCCAGTTTACGATGGCTTAGCGCCAGATCCCAAGGAAAATGATGGTGCGAGCCATCGTGGAGCGGCTCGCGAAGGTCAGGCAGAGGGTTTGAAGCTAGCTCTCTCCCTCTCTCTCTGTCTCTATCTCTTTCTCTTTCTCTCTTTCTTTTTCTCTCCTCTCTCTCTCTCTCTCTCTCTCTCTCTGTCTCTGTCTCTCTCTGTCACTCTCTCTCGCTCTCTGTCTCTCTCTCTCTCTCTGTCTCTCTGTCTCTCTCCCTCTCTCTCTCTCTCTCTCTTCTGTCTGTCTCTCTCTCTATCTCTCTCTCTCTCTCTCTCTCTCTCTCCCTCTCTTTTGTGAGGAATGAGCCAGCAGCTGAGAGATAGTTTTGAAACCTGATGTAAGGGTTGCTCTACATCTTAGTAGCCCAGTGGTGCCCTTTTGCCGTTTATCCTCCAGACTATCGTTGAGCGTCCCGCCTCCCTTCGCAGGGAACCTCCCTTCCTTCTCTTCGGGAGGGTCAGCCTTGTGCAAGGTCATGCCAGAAGAGATGCTGGAAGACGCCTTTCCCAAGGTGCCCCTGACCCTGTGAAAGTGTGACCTCTACCAGGGTTTAGGGCTTAGGGTTTAGGGTTTAGGGCTTAGGCATGCTTGTATCTTCTAGGGCCCAAAAGACAGGCACAGGGGACGATTCCTAGTTTAGGCATCTGCGGGTCTTTAGGAGCGCTGGGCGCCTTCATGCTCAAGGTACATCGAGTCTCTTTCTTGTAGCTGTGCAACGGGCGCCCGAAATGTTCCGAAATGCCTACTGTGCATCAGGATCGGAGAAGACGGCCCCGCGCGTGAAAAATGAACATGCGCGGCGCGCACACAGATCGGAGCAGAGTAGCTCGAGCAATTCAGTAGAAAGGTCTTGCATTGAAGACTTGGGTGGTGTTCACTCTCGGCTGATAGCGGATTCAGGGTTTCAGGCTACCGACGTCTGAGGTACGTGACTGAGGTCTGGTAGCAGCAGTCTTCACCAGATTCTCAATGCCGAATCCGAAGCTCCAGCTGAAACCCTAAGCCCTGAACCCTAAACTTCCATGCGGCGTAGTCACAGGCTCACCTGCCTCTTCTTCGTCATGTGCAGAAGCAGCTCGCGAGGACGAGTGGAGATCGGGTTAGCCAGTGAACGGATGGAGGATGCCTCTCCCCCCCAAAAGCTGCGCGTATTGCAGGAGGGGCCGCCCCAAGACGGTGCGCGAGAAGGACGCTGTGGGGGGGAGGGCGAGGGGGGGGCAGGCTCTGGAATTTGTTCTGAAGGGTTGCGCAGCATTTGTGGGAATCAAGGACCGCAGGGGCTTTCTTCTCCATGCTATTTCTGGCCTCTGGTAGGTAGGCGTTGAGAGGGTTCAGAGGATGAGCGCGGAGAATCCCATAAATCCAGCGGCATCCTCGAAGCAAGGACCTTGCACCCCTTGTGTAACGCGTGCTCTAAGTTTTCGACATTGGTCGGCGCGAACCAAGCCCTATCTCACTCTGCCTTGCCTCCTTTCCCCGCACCCCACTCCCAACTGGAATCCCTCTACCCTGCAGCCCCTAAACCCAAAATCCCCAAAACCATAAAAAGAAGCAAACCTCGGCCCTAAACCCAAAACCCCCGCGCAACAACAAAGAGGAAGCGCCCCGAAAAGCCACGAGAAACGAAGCTGAAGGCCGGCGAGGAGGAGGCCGAGGAGCCGGAGAACGAGGAACCCGCAGCCCCACGCCCCGAGTTTGTGGGGGGGGGCTTTAGGCTTTAGGCTTTAGGCTTTAGGCTTTAGGCTTTAGGGTTTAGGGTTTAGGGTTTAGGGTTCAGGGTTTAGGGTTTAGGGTTCAGGGTTCAGGGGTTCAGGGGTTCAGGGGTTCAGAGGTTCAGGGGTTCAGGGGTTCAGGGGTTCAGGGTTCAGGGGTTCAGGGTTTGTTTTGCTGGTTTAGGGTTTAGGGTTTAGGGTAGTTGAGGGTGTTTTTTCTTTTTTTGGGGGGGTTTAGGAATATGCCTTGCAAGCCGCCGGTTAAACCCCTAAACACGAAACCCAAAACCCAAGGTAAGCAGTATTAGGTTTAGGGCGCCCAAGGTTACTCTACCCCCCCTCCCCTCACAAAAAGGGAGCTGTGGCCCCCAAAAATTGAAACCCCAAACCAGATCCCCAATTCAATTGGCCCCAGAGGATGACTTTTTCGAGCGGGTTTGTGCTGCTAGGCCCAGGATCTGAACCCTAAAGCCTAGTAGGCGCTTAGCACACCGCGCTTCGCCTCTAGCTGAAGAATCTCGGGGGGGTTTAGGGCTCCGGCCCTAGGCTCCCGAAATTTAGGGTCCGGGTTAGGTTTCGGCTTCGGGCTAGTGGCGCAGGGGGTTTCGGGTTTAGGGGCTCAAGGCTTAGGATTTTACATGTTCGGCGAGGGTTTTGGGTGGTCTCTATCGTGAGCCTATGAGCGTCGGTACTTGATCTTCCGGGGCTCTTCGCGAAAAATCCGTTCGCGTTCTGACAGTGCTTTCAGGGTGGGCCGAGGGCTCAGACTCCTGAGGCTCAACATGTCACCCTCAACCCTAACCCAGACCCCTGGGAGGATCCAAAAAGTAGATCCTCTGAAGGGTTCCTGAGAATAGTCCATTAGTTGTATAGGGTACTATTTGGAGGTTCTATTTTGTTGGATCCTCCCAGGGGTCTGGGAAGCCCTAAACCCAAAAGATCTGCCGAGCCAATGGCACCCAGGCGAACCGGCGTGGGAAGAAGACTGCAGAAGCCGCCTCTTGGGACGCCTTCAAGGCCTGCCATCTCCTGGGTCTGAGGGCTGCGGGCTTAGGGGTTCAGAGCTTGGCCCGCGGCCCTGAACCCTGTTTTGCCCCTGATATGGTCTCTTTCGCCTTCGGAGGCGGATAGCTTGAAGGGTTCGGGGTGTAGGACTGACGATGCCGTTCTTGGGTTTCGGGTTTATAAGGCTTCAGGATTCAAGGTACCGTTTTTGGGCTCCTTTACAAAAGTCGCCGGACCCTTCTTGTAGTATCACCAGTGTCGCGTGGTCTCATCTTGGCCCGGCATTCGGCTACTTCTTTAGCCAGTCAGATCTGGCTGGGTATAGTGCTCGCTTGTAGCCAATCGTGCAATACAGGTGTGGAACCTACATCCCCATTTGGGAATTAGTTATTTTTGTTCATATAAAACCCAAGAGGATACTAAGAATTGTATTTCTTATTAAGGTTCTAAGGGGAGCGGAGGAACCCCGAGCCCTTAAAGCGCACACAGGGTGTCCTGTGCCAGGCTGGCGATGAGGGCGAGGCCATGGAGTTGGATGCGCTTGGGCTGGGCTTTAGGGTTTAGGGTTTAGGGTTTAGGGTTTAGGGTTTAGGGTTTAGGGTTTAGGGTTTAGGGTTTAGGGTTTAGGGTTTAGGGTTTGGGATGTCAGGGTTTCCTTGGTAGCCCAGTGGTACCCTTTACCATTTTTTGGGTTCTGGGTTCCCTTTTAAAGTAACCAACCAAGAGTCAGAGATGCTGAGAATGCACGTCCGGGGAGGTCCAGCAGGTCTTGGGGAAAAGGGGTCGTGGCCAACTTATTTTGGCTTTTTGGGTTAGCCGGGTTAAGGAGCGTCTAGGGTTTTGGGATTTTGGGTTTTAGGGTTTAGGGTGACTCTTCCAACCAAGTAGGAGCAGCCTTCACTGTCACCAGGCAGATGCGGCAGATGCGGATGGAGATGCCGACATGGATGGCGCAGCGAAGGCAAGTGGTGCTGAAACTTGCAATCTTAAACAAGAAGCCTTATAAAGCATGGACCTCATAAGCCTGACAGCTTCTAAGCCCTGCAAACTCCAAACCTTTCAGGCCGCAAAAAGCCAAAAGTTTTTCAATCTACATAGTACCTAAACCATATAAACGCTCCCTACACTCTGAAAAAGCCACCTAGACAAACCTTCTAAACCCTCCCTGACGCTCATAAGCCCCTACAGTCCCCAAGCACTGCAGCCACCCATAAAACCTACAACCTTATAAACCTCTGTAAACCCTAGAAATAAATAAGACCTGGACTGGAGCCCCGGATTCTCTACACCCTAGACACCCTAAAAGCAGGGTGTGGGGTTTTGGGTTGAGGGTTCGGATTTGGGGTATCTGGAAGCTTACAAACCCTGAAAGTGTCTGGGGTTGATGGGCTTAGGGCCCTGGATAAAAAGCTTAAACCTTACAAGCTCCGTAAGCTCGCCCCACCCTAAACCAGTGGGCCAGGCCCCGAAAAAGCGCGGCCGAGCGGAAGGCCACTACCTTCAAACGATGTGTGTGGCTTTAAGAACAAGAGTGTTTGTGCTTTTGCAGCGATTCAGAGTATTAGGCTTTGGGTAGGGTTTGGTGTCTATTTCCGGCTTAGGCCTGGGGGCTTGTTTCAACCCTATCTGGAGCCCTCAACCCCAAAAAATCCATAACTAAGAGGTCGGTAGAGCCCCGAACCTTGTAAACCCTAGGCCTGTCGGATTTTGTGCTGTCTAAGGGTAGTTTCATGGGCCCAAAAATAGAAGCCCTAACCTCCTTGAAAGGGTTCTGATGTATGGGCCTTTATTTAATTTGGGGTAAACAAGGGGTATATAAGGGGTACCCTTTCTGTAGGCCCGTACCAAGGGACCCCTTAGATGCTGCATTTCATGTTTGTTGGGCTGCTTGTTTGCTCGGAACCTTCGTGAGATGCCAGGAAGTCCTCGTATCAGACTAGGGTGCAGGGATGAAGGAGTAGGTTCAGGTTTTTGGGTATATTAAGTGAGTCTCCGGAGCCTCAAGCAGCCCTGGGTGAAAAAGGTTCCCTTCGAACGCGGACTCCTCCTTCGAACAAGAGCAGGAGATGACAAAATATGCTGCGAAACATGGAGGACATGTTGCGCTCTCAGGAGGCGAGACGCATGGCGGGGACAGAACGGAGGATGCCGGACTTGGAGGCCAAAGCTCCTCAATGTGAAGGATGGGATGCTCCACCAGAGGGAGAAAGCATTGGGAAGCGAGAGAGGGCCGGAATCTGGCCTCTTTTGCTTCTGGTCATGCTGTCATTACCCGACTCGTGAGCAGACTCGTCGGCCGGGCCAGAGCGATGAAGGATTCAGGGGATTCTAAGGTTTAAGGCGCCGGTGCCTCAGAGGATGCATCGCAGCAGACGTGGCTCTGACCCACTGTTGGCCATCTACACAACTGAATACAAAGCTTTTCCCAAGTTCAGACCTAGTCGCCTGACAGGCTTCGAAACCCTAAACCCTGAGCATTTTGCAGTGTAGGGATGCAGGTTGAGATACGAGGAGGCGGCATTCGCAGCACAGGGATCGCGACTGTGCTTGTTTCAACACCTTCACTTCACTTGCGACATGCGCCGAAACGGATTGGCCTCCGAACCCGTGGACATTCCAGAGTTTGGGGTTTAGGGGTTTGGGGGTTTGGGGCTAGGGTGTTTTAGGGTTTTATTGTCTCAGGGTGATAGGGTTTCAGGGTTTAGGGTTAGGGTTTAGGGATGAAGGGTTTAGGGTTTCGAGTTTCATGTAGGAGGGTCTATAGTGTTTTTAGCACTGGCAGATGAGAACCTGAGACCTTCCGTGCTTCTCCAGGCGCCCCGAACGAGCCTCCCATGGCCGCAGCGGTGGCGCACAGCGCTGTGCAGGCGAGCATGGGCGCGGGAGGCTTCATTTTATATATTCATATTTATATATATATATATATATGTATATGTGTATATATATGTATATATGTATAGAAGGGATCCTAGCATGGATTCAGGAATATCCGTGGATTACGGGACAGTAGGGTGCTTAGGATACTGCGACAAAATTGGGAGGAACAACGCTTTCATGCACCGCCCAGAATCAACGCAAAGGCGAACAGACCCCATAGACGCCCTAAACCCCAACCCAACCCTTGAACTAAAGCGATAACTTTCCTAGTCAAACCTTCATCTACAGAACAAAGTCCTTGCAAACCGGGCCCAAAACCTCAGTATGGATCGAGAACAGCTGCTAGGCGTGCCTTTCAGTCGCCAAACTTCCCCAGAGCGGGCATCCCTCCGGGATCAGAGTTGAAAGGAGCAGGAGGGGGCGCATTCTCCAGCATCCCTTCATGAACATGTCGGAGTCAAGACTCAAGCGAGGCAAGCGCGAGAAGCTCACTCTTGCCGCTTGCTATCTGCTGCCAACCAGTGCACAAGGCAGGCGAAGTGTCTAGGAGGATGGAACACCCCTTGGCACCCGCTTTCAAAGCATAGGGGCTCCTCCCTATCACATCGCCCGACGAAACTGCACCTGTGAGACCACGGCCTGGAGAGTGCATCGCTACGAGCTCCTCCGTGAGAACGGAGTAGCGTAAGGGTATGGGCGTCGATGCAGATCAGACACTTCTTGGAGATCACAACGCCCCGTAAGAAGGCCTTGCGCAGGCACAGTGCACGTAAGGCGTTGACGCAAAACAGCTTGCAACGTTTTCAAAGTACAAGTTTCCCGAATGCCGCCCGGCTCCGTTCGCAAGCCTAACCGCTTAAAACCCTCAAACCTAAAACCCCTCGAAGAACCGTGTTGACTCCCCCCAAACCAACCCTAACCCTAAATCCTCAAGCCCCTTAAGAACCGTAGAAGCCCCCAAGCAAACCACCTCAATGACGCCTTACTCGCCCAAGGCCCTGCTGGATGCCTGGGAGGCCGAGTCGGACAGCGACGACGGCCAGGTGAGGAGGTTAGAGGGTTCTTAAGGGGGCGGTTTAGGGTTTAGGGTTTGGGGTTTGGGGTTTGGGGTTTGGGGTTAGGGGGGGGGGGGGGGGGGGGGGGGGCTTAGGGAATACGCCTCCTTGACCTAAGCTTCCCTAAGGCTCTCTAGGTACCTACTCCCCACTACTCCCTAATGGCTCCGCTTCAAGAAACCCATAAGGAGGGGGATGTCCCAAACTCGACGGCTTGCACTTCTCATGATTTGGGTCTAGGGTCCAGGGTTTAGGGTTTGGGGTCTGGGGGTTTAGGATTTGGGGTTTAGGGCTCAGGGTTTAGGAGCTGAGTTTGCGTGTCACGGGTTAGGGCGTCTGGAGGTTCACCTGCGAGCCCTCCAGCCCACCCCAAAGTTCCCCTTAGCTACTATTTGCTTAAGAACCCCCCCAAAACATCAAAGAGATTCTTCCTTCTAAGGGTAATAATACAATGATTATGATCATATTTTCTGGTGGGTTCTTCAGCACATAGTAGTTCAACATGCTTTTCAAGTGCAACCTTGAAGGGGAGAGAGCCAGGGCTCAGCCAGCTTGTGCAACACCAGTGTGACGAGACATGGCACCAACAGGTGCGCCGTGTCTATCCGGGCGAGAATGCGTCCGCTTTCATTCGGAAGGGAGGCTTAGCCAACGACCTGGAAGTGCTGTCCCCCGCGCAGTTCGGTGCGCATCTAACGCACATGAACTGCGAAGGAGCCAATCGTCTCGGAAATTTCTTGTCAATGCTCGCGGCCTCAATGGAGACAGCGCAAGGCCTGTTGGAGATGCATCACACCGAAAACGACAAGGGTTTAAGGTTTAGGGTTTAGGGTTTAGGGTCAAGCACTACAAAACATTACAAACCTTGCACTTACAGTCTACACCATGGCCCTCGGCCCGAATGACCCAGTCCTGTCTTACTCTAGCACGTTAGCAGCCTTTGATCAACCCCTTAAGGCTGTGCACAACACCACACCCTTGAAACTCTCGAAGCCTGAAGCCTGAAACAGTGCATGTGGTTCAGGTTTCAAGGGTCGAGAGCCCAAAAAATGCCAAAAAACTGCAGGGGTGGGGGGAGGGAGGGGGGATACTTAAGGGCCAGCGCTTGAGACCGTGAACTACTAAACCCTACATGCTACAAACCCTAAACCCTAAACCCTAAGCCCTGCACTGCACATCCACCAAGGGCAAGCGCGGGGCCCGCAGCAAGCGCAAGCGCGGCGACCTCGCAGTGGGAAGCTTACGGATGCCCATTTTTCCACTTCGTAGTAGAGTAAGTAGCAAGTTAACCTTTTTTGGGTACATCTAGTCCCTAAAAAGTCCGAAAGGTTAACCGTGAATTCCCTAGGATGCAAGATCTCGTGTGTCTGAGTTTCGTACAGACCCGGCAAGCCCCAAGATCTTAAACTCTGAACTCGTCGAAGCCCGAAATCCTGAGTCCCGAAACCCAAGAAGCCCTACACCCTCAGCCCTTTTCCAGGTGCAAACCCTCAAACCTACAAACTGAAGCGTCAACCCCACAAGTCCCCAAACCCTAAAAGGCAAGGGTTAGACAAAGGTTTGGGGCTTATGGTTTGGTGCATGTTGGGAGTTTAGGTGTTTGTTTTATGCGTCTGGAGGGGAGGGCCTTCAGGGGCTTCATGATGTGAAGTTCCATGACAGGCCGCGCGTGCGCGCACTCTCTGAAAACTCAACACATCGAGCTTACAAAGCTCTTCTTCCCTTGCACCCTATAGACCCTAAACCCCCAGATCCTTCCAAACCCTATGAGCCCTGAACCCTATCCAAAGCCTGAGCCAGAAGCTTTAATGCCAAGGCTTCCACCTGGATCCAAGAGGATGGCGACGTGCCCATCGACTTCATGTCGGCTGATGCAGCACACTCTGCGCGCTCGCCCAGGATTTGGCTTTTCTTGGAGGCTTACTGCTTCGTGCTTCAGCGCGTTGGGGGTCTACAGGGTGTGGCCTTCAGGGTTTAGGTTTGGGAAGTCAGTTACTTGAACTCAGGGAATCGAGCTTTCCCTCAAGGTGCAGCAGAAAGGTAAGCTCAACCTGCAGGCAGCATCAGCGTCCTGCATTGACCCGACCTCATCGTCTCATCATCCGCGAGTGCTCACGCATTGTTCACGCTGCTTTCACATTGGGATTAGCCAAAATGTATTCGAAGTATTCGAAGAGGTTCACTGCTAACGGCAAACAGTCAAAGTGCCATCTTCAACAAATCGAGGCCCCTCTGGTGTCTCTGCTTGTGAAATACTCCTGAAAACTTACAGAAAGAGATGCTGTGGTTTAGGGTTTAGGGTTTAGGGATAAGACTTAGGACGCCTAACAGGGCCCATGATTTCGATCAATTCCCCACATCGCAGATATGGTTTCGGGTTTAGGGTTCTCAACCCTCGAACCCTCAAACCCTTAAACCCCGAAACCCTTAAACCCTTTACAACCCTCAAGCCCTCAAACCCCTAAACCCTCTGCAGCATGAGGTTCTCACTGTGCGGGCGCCACCTTCCAAGCGCCTCCGCGGAACGCAGGCGCGCCAAGTGCCGGGGGGCTTTCAGGAGGGCCCGACCCTGAGGCTTTAGGGCTTGTAGGGTCGGTTTTAGGGCTTAGGGTTTAGGCTTTAAGGTTTAGGATGGTTTGGGTATCTGGGGGCTTTCGAAAGTGGAGCCTGTGATGAGGATTACTCTTCTTTCTTTTTTTTGCTGGGGGGCTGGTATACGTTACCGGTTCGCCTATCGCCCGCTTGGGGTTTGGCAAGGGAGGGTTTAGGGCAACAAGGGGTTGTTTCTTTGTTTGGGTTCAGTGTTCAGGGATTGATGCTTCGTTTGCTTTTAGGCCTTTGGAACCCCCCAAAAAAGTACCCCCAATATATTTAAGACCACCCTAGACCCTAAACCCTTAAACCCTAAACACACACAAATGATTGCTGTCTGCAGGTTGGATCTGCTGGTGCCGAAAACAAGGCACCTTGGCAGCCAAGAGCAACTGCAGTGAGAACAGTGGGTGAAGATGGGGACTAAGGGGCTCTGGGGGGCCAACTACAACGCCCAGTGTTACCCTGCTTTCCTTTTGTATTTTATTGCCAGCCCAACAATGGTTTAGGTGTTTAGGGGTGTAACTCTCTTCGACAAGCCTAAACCCCAATCCCGCAAGGAAGCAAAGACAGAAACGACAGTCGGAAAACCTGATGCCCCAACCGACCCCTGGAACGCAAGACCCGACATCCCAAAACAGCTCAAGTTGTCCCTAAACCCTGAGCCTTAAACCCTGAACCCAAGCCCTAAAACCCTAAGCCTTAAAGCCTGAACCCAAGCCCTAAAACCCTAGCCTGAAACCGACTAAAAGCCTTTGTTAGGAGTGGGGATGGACGGGATCTTCCCTGCGCGATGCCAATCGTTTAGGACACCAAACTGAACCCTCCATCCTGATGGAGCTCAAGGCATTCTAGGGATGGAGGGCTTTAGGGCGTTAGAGCTTGGGACAATTGAGGGTTTAGGGGGTTTAGGGTGTAGGGTTGGGATAGGCCTGCTGTAAACAAAAGGTCTCGGAAACTTGAGGGCTTTTGAAGACTTTTTAAAGTCTAGGGTCTAGGGCTAGGAAATTTAAGGTCTTTTGAGGCCGTTTAGGGTTTAGAGGGCTCAGGGGGTTTAAGGTTTAGGGTAAGGCTTTTGTGGGAGTTTTTCGGTTTTAGAGGCTCACATACCGCCCAGATCGATGCCTTGCGCCGGAGTGGCCTGCGCTTTGCTCCCGACGGGCGCCTCGTCGTGGACGATGCCGCAGAGGCTCGGGTTTGGGCTTCAGGGTTTAGTTTGGGGTTTAGGGTTTAGGGTTTAAGGGGGTGCTTGCAGGTCTTCGGGGGTTTACGGGCTTCGGAGGCCGCAGCGTTCTAGGAGCACAAAAGAAAGGCTGTGAAAGGGCCGCCCGCCGCAGGCTTTTAGAAGGTCAGAATACAGTCTACAGCAGCATACTCTGAAAACACTTAACCCAAAATCCTAAACCCTTCCTGCTACATGCAACATGCGCGCAGCTTCGTCAGCTTCTGGACCCTGACCCTGACGTAAAAGAACCGTGCTTGGTCGCCCAGTGGTGCACTTCTTGGGCTAACTTAGGGTGCCTTGGACTACCAGAAGTGGTGCCCTTATTGCATGGCTGCTGGGCTACCAAGCTTGTAGATGGGGCCTATCAGGGGGTTAAGGAGTCTCCTGAAGTTACGCATGGGTCTTAGATTGAGATGCCTCGGCCCTCCTTAAACCCGAAACCCTATACCCTGAGCAGCTTCTGAGTGCGCAGGAGAAGGACAAGAACGAGGCGCCGCAGTTTACGCACGGCGCCGCCTCGAAGCCAAAAGCGCACGTGGCTCAGGGTGTGCCTTCTGAAAGCGCAGGGCTGTATAGGTTTAGGGTTTGAACTTTCATCGAGAACCTTTGAGTGCAGGGTGGAGAGTTGCCTTGAGCTTCCTTCTGCAGCACTTAGCATGAACTGCCAAAGGTCGTTTCTAGGCTAGAAGGCAAACTATTCAGGCGCCACTGCGCTGCCTTGGCCGTAGCTTTTTGCAGGGCAACCTTGATATACCCGATGGTGCATGGACATTTCTAGGTTTCATTGCGTCCTCGGGCACAACCCTCGGCTTATTAAGCCTTCAAGCTCCCTTCATGTGGGCGGGGTGGGGGTGCGGGGGGTCCGACAAGTCTACCCTACAGACATTTATACACACTATTTTTGCGGAAGCTCCCACTTCTGGCCCTCATTGCAAAGGCTCTCCCAGCTGGCAGCACAACGCAAGGCGCGTGCTGAGGCCGGATGGAGTGGCTGTCAAAGAATGCCTACACACCTCCAGCTGCAAAGAAGTTCATTACAGGATCCTATACGACTCCACCCTATCCATACTCTCTACCCAAAAATATGGTCCACTTTAGCTGCGGGAGCCTTTCCAAAGTTGTCGGTCGTATATCCCAGCCGGGAGCCCATATGGAAGCCCCCTACTTCCCTAAGCCTTGAACCCGAACCCCAAAAACCCTTTCAACCCTGCTTCCCTGACCCCTAAACCCCTAAGCCCTATAAAGCCCTATAAGCCTTATAAAGCCCCTTAAAGCCCTGTAAAGCCTTCTAAACCCTACAAAGCCTTTTAAGAAGGGTTCTGAGCCCTAGAAACTCCAAGTCCCTGCCAGGCGAAGGCCCAGGCGAGAGCTGCGAGGTGCCAACCGGAGGGGGGGGGGGGGGGGGGGGATCTTCTTCCTGCCCAGGGGGCCTTCCTCCTACCTTGAACCCCTAAACCCTAAACCCTGAAGAACCCCCAAAGTAAACGGGATAACCCCACCATGTCTACGTTTTTCACATACGGCAGAAGTGTGCGCGCATACGTGCTTATCGGTGTAGTTCGCGGCGGGTAGACCGGGCGGTGGTACTTAGGGTTTGGGGTTTGGGGCTTAGGGCGTGCGGGGGTCGGACTGTGTTAGTGGTGTTTGGCGCTTCCCTCTAGACTTTAAGTGGCTTAGGTTTGAGTGTTCAAAGCATTCTTTTGTCTTCAGTGGTTTAAGATCTTAGGGCCCTGTGGAGTGCCCACGGGGCTTAGTTGCGCACTGTGGAGTGTAGAGTTGGTGATGAAAGGGCTGTGGAGCTTGGGGGGTCCCCCTGGATTTTCCGAAGCGAGGCATAAGACTTACCTCTGCCTGCACCTGTACAAGAAAAAACCTTTTGGGTAAGCAAGCACCGCTATATAGATAGAGCAATAAGTGGAGAGCTAGCAGAACAAGGAACTACATTGCAAGGAAGATATGTACATGAGTCGAGACGGATTGATTGATACCCAGAACCCTGCAAGGAGTTTCATAGTAGAAAGGGGATCCAGATCCTCCCAGGAGACAGGATGCCCAAACCCCAAACCCACAACTTTTAAGCATCCTACAAGGAAAAGCCTAAACCCAAACCCGTAGCTTTAATCCTTCTACAAGGAGAACTTCACTCGGAACTCCCCGACACCTACCTCGAAGCTTTCCATAATTTCAAGAAGCCCGAAACTTCCAAGGTGGTCTGAGGTTCCTGAGCTTGCAAGGAGGAAGAACCTCCAATTGCTACCCTTTTCTACTATGAGGGTTCCCGGAAAGAAAATCTACCAGAGGCACCCCGTTTGCCCTTTTCTTGGCTTCTGGGCTCCTTATAAAGGGGAGCCAAAACCCCGAAAAGGGCACCCCTATTGCAAAACTTAAGTGGCTCCCAGGAGAGGTGGTGTTCACCTGATCAAGGGCATGGCCCGGACCTCGGATGCCCTTTTGGTGATCCTATCGGGTTTAGGGTTTAGAATTGAGGGTTAGGGTTTAGGGTTTAGGGTTTAGGGGGGCCCCGTGGAGAGACCGTGTTGGGGCACGCGAGCGCGAAAGAGAGGGCTTAGGTGTAGGGCTGCCCAAGGGAATCGAGTTTCGGGGCCAGGGTTTCGAAGTCAGATTTGGGGTTCAGGGAGTCGCGTTCAGAGCTTCCGGAGTTTGAGTCTAAGATGTGGGACTTCGTGTTTAGCGATTTACAGTGCAAGGGTTACAGTGTCAAGGGTTTAGGACGTTAAAAGTTGGGACATGGCCACAATGTTGGTGGTGACAAAGTGTTTGCCTCTAGCTTCGCAGCTTCTCGGCGCATGGATGCCAGGATGCAACTGCTACCGTAAACACCAAGCCCCAAAGTGGCCAAACCCTAAACCCTGAGCAGCTTGGCCCACAAGGCCCATGTCCTGTCGCCTTGGTACCGAGGAGTCGTACAAGCCCGGCCGAAAGAAAGCGCAGGGCGACGCCAAGCGAAAGGCCATGCCGGGCGGGTTGGGGCTGGACTTCAAAGCACAAGAGAACGGTTCAGCGGTCAAGGAACCTTTTTCCCTAAACCCAGGTTTAGGGTTTATGCTATGCTTCAGGGTTAGGGAAGAAAGGCTGAAGGACTTAAATGGCTCAGTCAGGGGCTTGTGAGCTTTGGACCGCACTGAACCCCGTAGACACCCCAAGCACTTTTCCGTTGCTGAAACAAAGGGGTCCTAAAATATGAAGGCGTGCCCCAGATTTCAGAAATGTGGCCACACGGACGGGATTTCTGCATATTCTCATGTCTCAGGTAATCCTCAGCCTGTGCTGCGACCGAAGACGTATGGGTAGCTTTCTTTGGCCATCGCGAGAAAGAGCAGCCACCCCGTTCCTGACCCTAAAGCTTCAACCCTGAACCCGAACCCCAAACCACGAAACCCTGCACCCTAAACCCGAACCTAAACCTCGAAACCCTAAAGAGCACCATATGCGGCCAGGGTGCGAAGCTGGAGCCCTACGCCTACGTGGCCCTGAACCCGAAGGCAAGAAAGTCAGCGCTTCGAGGTTTGCCTGGAACGGTTTAGGGTTTTAGGGCCTTTAGGGTTTCGGGGATAGAGTTTGCGGTTCAAGGTTTAGGGTTCTAGTCTGGACCCCAAACGAATTTTGACCCTGAAGCTCTGAAGCCCTGATGCCCTGAAGCCCGAATCGCCTAAAGCCACGAAGCCGCAATCCACTCGAGCACCCGAAACGCAGGTGACCAAGGAGAAGTTCAAGACCAAGGCCACCGAAACCTTCTCTAAGGTCATCAAGGGCGCCAAGAAGGGTGTCCTGAAGGCCGGGTCGGGTTTGTCGGGATTAGGGTTTGCCTGGGGCTCCTGTTCGGTTCAGAGTAGATGGCCGCAGCCGGTGTACAAGTCATCTGTGATCCCAAGAAGTTGGGGTTAAGAAGTGCAGTGCATCGTATCCGCCACATCCCTGAACAGAAGCAAAGGACAAAGAAGAACTACAGCTTAACACCTTGAAAGCTGCCTCAGGGGAAGAAGGCCAGAGCGCGAGATCAGAAGGTGAAGCAGGCCAAGGAGACGAAAAAAAAGCCTTGCCCTCGGCATGCTCGGGTTGCTCCAAGGGAAGAAGTTAAAAGTTCAATGGGCCCCGAATCACGCAGATATCCCTTTGAAGACTTTGAAGATCCCACAGTGTTCTGAGTCTTCTAGGACCCTCCCAAAATCCAGCCCAGACAAGTTGCGACAGACCTAAGCCCTAAACCTGGAAACCCGAACTGAACCCGACCCTCGAAGCACCCTAAACCCCAAACCCTAAACCCTAAACGGTCGAGGGTTTAAGTTTTCTGTTGGGAACCGAAAGGTGGTTCATTGGGTTTCATTGGGCAGCCCTCTCACACTCCGCAACTCGAAACCCGAAAACCCGAACCCCTGGACTCTTCATCCCTAAACCCCTGAACCCTCCACCCTACAATAGAATCCAGGAGCCAGAGTTCCAGTTGCGCACCCCCCACTTGGCAGAGTTCTGCATTCAGGGATTTGGCTGTCGTGCACCGCCAATCGTGGGTGGAGGAACTTTTTGGGGGGCATCATGGTTTTGGGGCTTTCTGGCCTTTCAGTCTCACTCTCCATCTCACTCTCAAACTCTCAGCCCCCACTGCCCACAAAGTGCAGTATTCAGCGCGTGCAAGGAAGCAAGCGCGACGCCAGCAAGTGCGCAGAACGGCGGCACGCTGAGGAGCTGTAGTCGTTGGAGCCGGTTGAAACACGACAACCTGGATACATAGAAGCGTTTATGCTGAGTCAACGCTGATGGAGCAAGTAAAGGCAGCTTTTGACTTAAGCAACTGTTGGGCGGCATCAGGCCAGATCAAGTCGCTTCAAACTGCCGTAGCCCAACCCCAAAGACTTGCAAGCGCTGATGCTACGACCACACTGTTCACGAACTGTGGCAGCACCGTAGGCCATGCAGCGGCACTAAACGAAAAATGCACGCACCAGCCACACACACACACACAAAACTCGAATTTATACGCAGCAGAATGTTGACTTATGCCACCGGCGCGGCCGGTGCAAAGCCCTTAGTGCTTCTCCATCCATGCGGCGCAGCAATAAGACCGCAGGGTGGTAGAGATTATGTTCACCTGAGACGTGGCAGCAGATTTCAACAGAGCCTTACCGATATCTGAAGCAGGTCTCGACCAATGGCCACGTCTCACACGGTGCACGCCAAGCAAGTTCCAAGCGGCTGAGTCGCCTGGCTCAAAAAAAAGAGAGGCGTGCTGAAACAGCTGTGCTGCATCTGGGCATCTGCAGTTTCCCGCTCAGCATGGCATACTGACTGCAGTTTCGAAGGTGCCAGGTCGCCTTGGCATCATAAAGTCTATCCTTACATCCTTACCATCTTTAGCACATTTGTCCTCCTCCACGCCAGGAAAGGAAAGGCCGAAAAGGCTTCCGACAAGGCGGCGGAAAAGAGTGCCAAGGCCCGAATCCACCCCCGTGCTGCCCTCCAGACGCCCTGGGCCGGGGCGAGAACCCATGGGGGGAGATCCAACCTGGAGAACCTGAGTCTACTAGCAAGCAGTCTGCTTCCCTCCCCCTTTTGCAAGGTTCGGCTCCCGACACAAAACATACATCTAAACACAAATCAAGCCATCTAAAACCTTCTTTTTTAGGGGGGGGGGGGGGAATCCGGGAGAGTGGAGGGGGCCAGCCCCTGAACCTGCCAGGCTTCGACGGGCCAGGTGGAGCTGAAGGACCCGGCTGGTTTGGGGGGGCTTTACGGGGCTTTAGGGGCGTTTTCGGGTTTAGGGCTTCTGGGGCTTTGAGTTTGGGATTTACAGTTCTTAGTTTAGACCGGGCATAGAGGCATGAGGATCCTGAAGGCAGCTGGATACGGCTGCCGGAATACCAGTGTCAAATCGTGAAACGCTAAACAACCCCGATGCACTTCGGTAGAGGGCTTCGGGTTGAGGGCTTGTAGGATTGAGGTGGCGTACAGGGTTTATTCGGGTGCCGGGAAGTCGTGTGCCATCCATCAGGACTTCATGCAGAATCTGGCGACCAAGCACGGCAAGAAGCCCGATGAGTGCGCCAAGCATAGGGCAGGTTCAGCAGTTGTTGTATGTTTGGGTTTGGGCTGTTGACTTTAACCCCGGAGCCCAAATAATTGTCAAATGCATCCCCGTATAACGCCTGCAGAAGTATAACTAGTTCCGGTTAAACTATATATAAGGAGGCAATTCTGCCCTTGCCGGCAATGCTGTCCTTGCCGTCTCATCCACACTTCTGCCTCTGGTTCCTCCCCAGACCCCTGGGAAGATCCTCCCAGGGGTCTGGGTCTTTCAATTGCGGGATGTGTTGCTCAGTCTTCTTAAGGTGGTGCATCTTTGGGCTTTGTATGCATCTTTCCGTGCACTTGCAGATGATATGGTTCGCCAACCCTGTATCTTGGGGAACCTACAGCAGGTACATCACGGCGCGATCAGAGCAGGACTGGGAGAAGCTCTTTGTGGCGGTCGCCGGTCGCATCTTCAACAAGCAGCTTGCATCAAGCCATGGCTCTCGAGTTCACGACCACACACGCATGCACGCACACGCACACCTACCCACGACTTACGCAGTCTGGGTTCGCTGAGGGTTTGAGGGAGGTTGTGTTTGGATGCTTGGGGCTCAATCTTTACTTTAGTCAGCCGCTGCAGATTGTGGGCTGACGCAGGCGTTATTCAGATTGATGGTCACTCAGCCTCCTTCGAAGTCGGTTAGCAAAAGTAGCAGTTGCAATCAATGACAGTCTTGCACCTGCGTATTCATCACGCCTGACCTTGCCCAGGCAGTCTGATGAGCTCTGATACGCGTAGCAAGGAGGACGTAGGACCACTTCGGGCTCCTGTGCTTTGAGGATGTATGAAAGGTTTGGAGGTCGGACATGCTTCGGCATCCTTCGAAATTTCACCAGCGCGCTCCACATTTAAAGCTCAGAGGTGTTGCTGAGAGCAATGCATGTCCATAGCAGGCATGACCTGCAGGCTTTGCATCGTTGCATGTGAATTTCAAGCACTGTTTGCAAGCGACGCGGGGTGGCGATGGAGGATCATGACTGCCCGGCACATCGCTATGCCTGCTCTATCCAACTTTATGCTTCCCAGGCAACATGATCCTAGGGCCCCCTGGTACAACGTCTCTGCGAAAAAAGACTTGAGAAGCGAGTAGGCCAAGTGTCTGCTCGTTTTTTCACCTGCATGGAGCCGCCGAGCAAAAGCTTTTGCCCAGGCTTTGTCGCAAACAGAACCCAAGTTTCATCAGAACCCGAGTTTGCGTTTAAGGTTTTGGGGTGTAGGGTTTAGGGCTTCGGGTTTCTTCCCCTTAGCACAGGGAGCAAGTTGACCTGGGCTTCTTTCGCCCTCTCTGTTCAAAACGGAGTATGGTTGATGCATTCGCGTCCGTTCAGCAACACCCAGGTGCAGGGAGTTCAGCACGCCCATATCAAGCCAATCATGCAAGCCAGCCTCACAAGTACTAAAACAATTGAACTGAACCCTGTCAGAGCTGCTACTATGCGCTTAAGAACCCCGAAAAATGGAGGATAATACTCCCTGTGTTGCCCTTATGAGCATATATTTTGGGGGGTTCTTAAGCAATTGGTAGGTTACAGTGCCTTCAGGCGTTTGGGGCTCCGGGCCCTAAGGTTTGGTAAAGACAAACAGGGTCTTGGCTCCAACATGCCTGGGCACAAGATACCCTGACCGTTTAACTTGAAACGGCCGTGCTTGTCCATGACCTGCAAGACGTTTTCTCTCACGAGTAGGCGCTTGGCATGCCAAGTCACAACTGTCACCAAGACACGCCCCACTAAAGCTTTGCAAGGCGTCGCTCTCTCAAGACGTCACAACAACAGAAGACCTTGAATCGACGCGCTGAATGCAGCTCTTCGCCACATCTCCACAGCAGCGCGCTACACCCCGCAATCTTCCAACATGGCGCCGAAATCCCAGCACCACTGGCGGTACTTGGCTTCCGTTGCTGGGACGCGATTCAAAGCGATGTGCCTACACAGGCTATAATTTCGGGTTTAGGTTTTAGGGTTTGTGGAGTTTAGGGTTTATGGGGTTTAGGTTTTAAGG